AAAGCTTTTCATATAAAACCCATATGTGTGCACATTCAATCTGATTAAAATCAGATCCTCAATCTGCTCCTTTATTTTTTTTATGGTCGCTACCTCGTGTAGCAACCATAGAAAAATAAAGGAGTGGATTGAGGATCTGATTTTAATCACATTGGCACATTAGAATTCAAAATTCATGAAAAATTCAGTATCAAGTACCAAAGAAGTCCTAGACTAAACTATTTTTTTTATTTGACAAACAACTGAAATGAAACTAACATTTCTTTAAACAAATAAAAAATAAACCTCATGCAGATACTGAAAGAACAATGTAATGTTGAACCTTACCCCATCAGCACCCCTAATAGTGGTCACAGAGATGCTACCCCCACTGCTGAATATCCCCCCTCTCTGAGGAACTGAGGGCACTATTCCAGATTTGGGATCAGTAAATACTTTGGCAATGTCAATATCTTTGGCTTCTTCATCCAAGTCTATTAATAAAAAAAACTAAAATTTTAGATTTGGGGTATATATTTTTTCTTCTAGTCTATAAATAATCAAACAGAGCATTTGTGGTGAGAACCTTAAATCACTTTTATTATTAAAAAAACGTCCTAAACGGTCCTATCAGTACATGTAGTATGAATAAGAAAATTATCTTTCAAATATAGTATGGATATATATTCAAAGAATAACACAGCTTTTAAATCAATACATGTAGTTATCAATACACATGTATAAATTATAAAGTAGCCAATACTGAAATGGCCCCATCATTATTACATATACATGTATCATAGACCCTGGTATCAAAGGAAACAGTCAATTATGTTCAAAATATCCTGCCATCTTGCACAGAATTTAAAAACCAAAGGTCTAGTTATTTGCACTACTCTTAACAAATATGTGCCTTATCAAATTAGGTATCACAGGCCTTCAGATCGCTTTGATCTGATCGACACGTATACATGTCGGTCAGATCAAAGCGACCTGAAGGTCTGTGTTACATGTAGGTATGCAATGCAATGATAAATTTTAACCAATATCAAATTTTAGATGAAAATCAGCTACGGTTAGCCTGAAAACAACAAATCTGAGCAGCTGTCTAGTTTGTAAGATCTGACCGTGCTGAATTACCTTTATCCTCCTTGACTCCTGGTTCTTGTGTATCAAACTTCCGAAAAAAGTCATCAAACTAAAATAAAATATGCAAGATGTATCAGAATACTGCACGTCTCATTTTCAGATTTTTTAATGTTCTTGTCATTATAATTCTAATCAATATTTTTTCTCATTTAACTAAAGAGAAAAATTAGTGAAGATGTTCATTTACTAAATTGAAGTTAATAAAATGTGCATGTCCCCCATAACTTACAAAGTGCCGATGTCCCCATGGCTGAGAAGGTAGGGGGGATATCTGACCTTCTGGTGGAGATTCTGACTCTTTCAGCATGGAGTCTCTAGGATTATCCCCTCTTCTACTTTGACCTCTCTCAGGTAAACTATCAACTGAAATCAACAATAATGAATACATTGTAAATAATTCCACTTCGGTGAATTTATATCATGTTTGAAACACGGATACATGTACATAAATAATGGGCTGATGCAGAAGTGGGTTCTTAAAGAGACATCTGATAAATGCATGTACTTTAACTGTCAACTTAAGACAGCACCCTTTGGAAGGCAAGTTTTATTTACACTCACATGGCATGTCTATTGCTCCAAATCTGCGAAATATAGCCTCCATTTCTCTCTGCATCATTTCCATGTGTTTTTCCATGTCACCAAAACTTTCAGTAAAAATACTGTTAAAATCTTCGAGCTCATCTCTATCTCTTCTATTGCCAGGAATCTGTGGGCCATGTTTGAAGAGTCTTTAAATGATGAAAATATAGCATTGATAATTTAATATCTACAAATTAATCTAATTAACCATTTAATAACATCAATCACGCAATTCCAATTCACTCCACCTGGAGTGGAAGGGGAAGGTACAGTGGCATTAAGCACCTAACTGCTTAGAAAAAAAAGTAGGAGATTTAGTTCTATGACTGGCTAAATTAATTAAATCTCATCATGCAACCACAGAAGTCTGAAATTTTTATTGTCAAAAAAAAAAAAAAAAAAAAAAAAAAAAAAATCTGGAAAAAAAAATTCCCACCCTCAACTAAAAAATTTTTCTAGAAATTTTTTTTTCCGGATTTTTTTTTTTTGACGATAAAACCTTCAGACTCCTGTGATGCAACAGATGTCATAAATGTCCTAGCAGGAAGGAAGAATCTTGTCTTGAAAAAGCTAAACATTTCAGAAAAAGTCAAATGACAGCACGATAAATGAAATTGATACATTTACACATTGTACTAAGGAAACTAAGTTTTGTTCCCTGTAATACCCCCCACCCCCAAACAAAACACATGGGTTGGTTGGTAGGTTTTTTACTACTATAAAATTATATGATATATCACATATTGACTTTCAGTAAACTTTCAAGTTTAAAACTTGCATCAGCTAAATTGATCAAACACTAATTTGGCAGGAAAAAAAAAGATCACCCAGCTGAAATTTGTATGGATTTGTCGGGCTACCCCTATACAGGAAACAAACATTTTTTTTTTATCATAGTAATTTTACTTTTTAATAGGATCAAAAAATGAAAGTAAATCCTGATCTCACACATTGATAAACAAGAAAAATCTGTCAATATTTGTTTTTCTTCATTTGAACTTTGGATGATATATTTTTATGTGACCATTCAGGCTACCATGAAACAAGGCTTTCCCTAAGAATTTCAAGTCGGATGTAAACTTCCGGCCCCCCTTTGGCGATTTCTCGGATTGTTGAAGCAGTAGATTGAGTTTGACGAGGGATTTTTAATATTTGCAAGTGTGATGCGCCCTTCTGCTGCAGTGTCTGTAAGTTTAGACCTCGAAAGACTGGCCACAGAAAGGGTTGCAGGGAATTTATTTGACAGAGTTTCAGACAAAAATACAAGTGGATGTGACAGACCTACAGCGTCGTGCCATAAGTATTCGCAAAAAAATGGCGGACGTGATTTGAGAGTCAAGATGGCGCTGATGGGGACCTTGTTTATTATTAGGTATGTGTATATTTTTTTTTATTAAAAGAAAAATAAGTAACGTCAGGTGCCTGTGCACTAAACCTAACTTTTACTAATCTGAGTCGGTCTGATGTAACATGCTTTAATCATATGGTTATGCGAAAGTTTGTTCCGAGACAGTCAGATTATTCAATGTTCAAGTGATTCTGGAAGTTTTTATTCTTCCTTCATTATTATTCTTTATGATGTCTGCTATTATCAAATCTGGTCAGAACTAATAAAGTAAAAGGTAAGTAGTTTAGTTATCCATCTGTTGTTAACAGCTGATTAACATTATTACCCCCCTTTTAACATGCTTTCTTTTCATTTCACCAGCTGTTATTTGTGATGGATATCCAATATGCTTTGGATGGATTTATGCCTGAATTGATAAATGCAAGATTGTATATAGGCCTATTTATACTAGATTATTTGTTGATAATATTGTTAGCCCACAGTGCCTGAAAAAATTCTGAAGATCCACAGGGGCTTGTGCAGAGAAAAAAAATCAGTTAAAAAAATTAGTTCCTCGGAGATAAATTTCTCCGAGGTACTAATTTTTTTAACTGATTTTTTTTTCTCTACACAAGCCCCTGTGGTAGATCTGTAGATTTCGTCAGACTTTTACCAACCTTGTCAAATGTACTTTTATTGAACTTACTGATCACTGTCTTCAAATGAACCAGGTCGGCGTCTACTTGGACCAAAGAAAAAGTCATGGAACATATCACCTAAACCCATTCTTCCCCTGTTTCAGTTTTTACGCAATGATTCGTCTTTCTCCGATTTCTCGTCCTTTCTTTCTGTTTACACCGGAAGCAGTGGCATAATGTTCGGTACACGTTAAGTCTTACTAAAAATAGCTCGTACTAGATTTGCTTTTTAAAATGCTCACCATTCAGATTGTCTCCGAATTCTCAAAGAAATGTGAATTCACCTACAGCAATCCCTCAAAAGTCATGGGTTTTGGAAGTTAATGTCCCCAGATTTAAAAAAATGGAAAAATGGGGGATGGGGGTGTTCGTCCCCCAAGTAGTGCAAATTTGTAGTTTAATTCTTCTCATTTGGAAGTTTCTGAATAGATCTACAAAACTTGATAACAAGGCCGGTCTGCTTACAATACGATAGGGGTGGGGGTGGGGGGAGTAGCAGTTATACACAGGGCTTGTATAGAGAAAATAAAACAGAAAGTTAGTACTTAGGAGAAAATTTGTCTGCTTTATTTTCTCTACACAAGCCCCTGTGATTCATATGGAAACTTAACAGATTGTTCGAAGACATTGATCTCCCAAACTACCTTATATAGATACATGTATTGTCAATCAGAATTACCTGAAAATATTTTCAGTAATATCAGCTTCGATAACTTTTGATTAGTTGGAGCTACGTACATGGCTTTCATATTTCAATTGTTCCTTGCCACAAGTCTGTCTTTGGGTACCAATATGTATTTGGCCCCTTACATGTAACCTTGGAGTTTGACGCACCTTTGAAAGAATTTACCAAACTTTAACATTGACCATTACTTTTGAATAATTATAGTTGATGCTAGGGGTTTTATATCTAAGATGTATATTTTTATGACAAGGTTTTCCCTAGTAATTTTACCTTTACCTTGGAGTTTGACTCACTTTATTGTCCCCCGCTTTCGCGAAAGCGAGGGGACATTAAATCTCATTCGTCTGTCCGTCTGTCTGTCCGTCTGTCCGTCAGTCTGTCCGTCACAAAAACTTTAACCTTGCCCATAACTTTTGATTTACTGGAGCTATGATTTTCATATTTCATATGTGTATTCCTTGTGATAAGACCTTTCTTTGGGTACCACCAAATTTGACCTTTCGACCTTGACCTTGGAGTTTGACCAACTTTTACTCAAAATTTCCAAACATTTACTTTGGCCATAACTTTTGAATGGTAGGTACTAGGACTTTCATATTTCAAATATTTATTCTTTGGGACAAGACCTTTCATTGGATACCAACAACATTGACCTTTTGACCTTGACCTTGAAAATCTTACGTACTTATGAAAAAACTATAACCTTGACCATAATTTTTGAACGGTAAGGGCTATGGCTTTTATACTTCACATAAGTTATTCTTGTAAAAAGACCTTTCATTTGGATACCAAGAACTTTGTCCTTTTGACCTTGACCTTGGAGTTTTAACTACTTTTTAAGAATTATAACATTGGTCACAACTTCTGAACAGTAGATTCAAGGACTTTTATATTTCACTTATGTATTCTTTGTGGCAAGACCTTTCATTGGATACCAACAACTTTGACCTTTTAACCTTGACCTTAGAGATTTACGTACTTCTGAAAAACTTTAACCTTGACCATAACTTTTAAACGGTAAGAGCTAGGGCTTTCGTACTTCACTTATGTAATCCCTGTGAGAAGGCCTTTCATTGCATACCAAGAACTTTGACCCTTTGACCTTGACCTTGGAGTTTAAACTACTTTTTAAAAACTTTAACCTTGGTCACAACTTTTGAACGGTACAAACTAGGACTATCATATTTTAAATATTTATATTCTTTGTGGCAAGACTTTACATGTGATACCAATAACTTTGACCTTTTGACCTTGAACCTAAAAAATAATATTTCGCCCACAAAGACACCGAAAGCGGGGGACCACAATTCTTTGAATTTGCTTGTATAATCTTTAAAATTTATAGAGAACTTCACCTTTGCAATATTAATTTATAGTTGAAGATCTGAAGCTCGCTGGTCAAAAATAAGGATAGACGACACAAGCACTTGTTTCTTTTACAGGATACCCCCTACTTGTGGTAAAAAACAAGATGTGTTTGTGAAACACTGATGGCAGTTAATAGCGAGGGTTGAATTCTCTCTAATTCATATCAAACTTCAAAAGTCAAGTTCAAAAGTATTCAGATACCCAAAGGAAGGTCTTGTTACAAGGAATTACAGTAACACCTGTGAAACATGAAAGTCCTAGTTCTAACTGTTGAAAAGTTATGGCCAAGGTTAAGTTTTAAAAAGTGGGTCAAACTCTTAGGTCAAGGTCAAAAGGTCAAAAATATTTATACCAGCTGAAAGGTCTTGTCACAATAAATACACGTGAAATATGAAAACCCTAGCTCCAACTGTTGAAAAGTTACGTTGAAGTGTGGTACAGTAAAACTCGGTTAAAACAAAGTCGCCGGGACCGATGAAATTACTTCGCTATATCTGTAATTCTTTATATCCTGTTATGCTCACAGGTATTTGTGGACAGGACCCCCCCCCCCCCAATATACACCCCTGTTCAAAATATTTTTTTTTCTTTTTTTGTCTTGAATTATGTTTCTAGTACTTATTTACAACGTATTCCATTTGAAAAAATCCAAAAAATAACATAGATTTAACCGTTAAATCTATGTTATTTTTTTGGATTTTTCAAATGGAATACGTTGTAAATAAGTGCTAGAAACATAATTCAAGACAAAAAAAGAAAAAAAAAATATTTTGACCAGGGGTGTATATGGGGGGGGGGGGGGGTTCCTGTTCACAAGTACCTGTGGTTATGCTAAAAACCATTCCGAGTAATGCTTCTTCTTTTATTAAAAACAACAAAACAAGATGAGTTTGTGAAACACTGATGCCCCCGTATGGCAACATAGCGAAATCAAACATGTTGATACCCAAAGTAGGGCTTTCTCACAAGAAATACAAACATGAAATATAAAACTCTAGCGCCACCTGTTCAAAAGATCTGGCCAAGATTAATGTTTTTTAAAGTTCCGGGGTCAAGGTCAAAGGGTAAAGGTTGTTGGTTTCTAATAAAAGGCTTGTGACAAAGATTACGTATGGGAAGTATGAAAGTCGTAGCCCTATCCATTCAAAAGTTATTGCCAAGGTTAATTTTTTTTAAAAAGGTCAGACTCCAGGGTCAGGGTGAAAGGGTAAAGATTGTTGGTATCCAATGGAAGGTTTTGTCACAAAGAGTACATATCTTCAGTATGAAAGCGGTGGCCCTAACCGTTCAAAAATATGACTAATGTTAACTTTTTAAAAAGATCAAACTCAAAAGTTAAGGTCAAAGGGTCAAAATTGATTGTATCTAATGAAAGATCTTGGCACAAGGATTACATATGTTAAAAATGAAAGTTGTAGCACTTACCGTTCTAAAGAACTATATGTGTAAAAGTGTGTCGAATTCCAAGGTCAAGTGGTCAAATATGTTGGTACCCAAAGGAAAGGTAATACACCTGTGAAATATGAAAGCCATAGTCCCACCCAGTCAAAAGTTATTGGCAAGGTTAAAGTTTTTGCGGACAAACAGCTAGACAGCTAGACAGACGGACGGACATGACAAAAACTGTATACCCCCGAAACTTCGTTTACGGGGGCATAAAAACAATAATCAAACAACAACAAAACTTTTTACAATGTGTTTCCAACACCGTTTTCAGAAGCTTACTGATCAAAGAGGAACAACTCTGAAAATGTAGGAGATGTTTGTGTGTTTTCCGAATACACAGAATCAGAATAAATTTACCTGATGAAACCCGTTAACCGAGAACTGAATACTATCATACACACAATGTAAGTATAGAAATTGGAAAAGAATTGTTTACTGAAATTATCTGAATTCATGAATAGCCTATTGCGACACCGTCCTACTTTCTTCTGTCACTGTCAAAAATGTCGGTTCGAATTTCCTCGAATCAAAACCACGGGAGTTCGCGTACAGGTCACCGAAATTTTCAGTAGGCCTAACCATTCAAAAGTTACTGCCAAGGCTATTTTTTTAAAGGTCAGACTCCAGGGTCAAGGTCAAAGGGTAAAGGTTATTGGTATCCAGTGGAATGTCTTGTCACGAAGAGTACATATCTTCAGTATGAAAGTGGTGGCCCTAATCGTTCAAAAAATATGCCCAATGTTAACTTTTCTAAAAGAAGATCAAACTCCAAAGTCAAGGTCAAAGGGTCAAAATTGATTGTATCTAATGAAAGATCTTGGCACAAGGATTACAGAATTATAATGTTAAAAATGAAAGCTGTAGCACTTACCGTTCTAAAGAACTATGTGTAAAAGTGTGTCGAATTCCAAGGTCAAGTGGTCAAATATGTTGGTACCCAAATGAAAGGTCTTGTCGCAAGGAATACACCTGTGAAATATGAAAGCCATAGTCCCACCCAGTCAAAAGTTATTGGCAAGGTTAAAGTTTTTGCGGACAAACAGCTGGACAGACAGACGGACGGACATGACAAAAACTGTATAACCCCGAAACTTCGTTTACGGGGGCATAAAAACAATAATCAAACAACAAAAAAACTTTTTACACATTCTCAGAAGATTACTGATCAAAGAGGAACAACTCTGAAAATGTAGGAGATGTTCCTCCTTTTTATTCAGTGTTTTCCGTACACACAGAATCAGAAAAAATTTACCTGATGAAACCGAGAACTGAATACTATCATACACACAATGTAAGTATAGAAATTGGAAAAGAATTGTTTACTGAAATTATCTGAATTGATAAAACTGCCGACTCCTGTGTGATCAAAACAATTTTTTGAACACATTACACACAAAAATTAATATAAATTTAACATAGATGAAGAATTTAATGTTTGATATATTGAAGGTAATAATTGGACGAATATGGAATTTTCTATTCATCAGTATAGACGAACGAAAGGATGCGTAAAATATCGGGACACTGTCTTGTTTGAAATAATGAAGAAACTGTAATTATAGCCACAGGAACAGTCATTTTGTCGATATTTAGAATGTTTGGCTACCCCCCCCCCCCCCCCCCCCCCGGCCCCCACCCACGCCAAATGAAATTACTTCCTATACGGGTCTGATTATATTCCATTTATATACAAGGGAGACTTGAACATACACCTGGCATCGTGGGATTACTTTTTATATGAAATAGAATAACAATTTAAGAAATAAAATTAAAATTCAATATCAAGGTATGAAAACGAATGCATAATACATGCACGTATGGACAACATACCGGACACTTGTTCATGAAATTCTTTAGTTAGTTTTACTTGATACAAAACATAGTAGTAGTCAATATCAATTTTAACTTCATGAATAATAAGAAATTAATACGTACTTCAGAGATTGAATCGACTAAATCTATCTGCATTGTAACCAATGTTTCATCAAACTAATGGTCTGCGACGCCAAATAAAAAAAAAGGCAGAACTTGGGGGGGGGGGGGGCATAGTCAAAAGTTGCCCCCCCCCCCCCCTCCAAAAAAAAAAATTTGAGAACTCTGTTAAGATATAATATAAATAACTTATTTAAGCAAAAGATATTTTCAAATTTGATTTTTTTTATAATGTGTATTTATAGGTATTTAGCAATTGTAATCGCGTGCAAAGTCTGAAAGACGCTTGAGAAACGTGATTTAGGGAGAAAGGGGAGGGGTGATTTTGCGGACTATATTTATTCAAAACGGGTCGTTTAAAAATTTACAAAAAATTAAGAAGATTATTTTTGCTATCAGCTACCTATAAAGAAATTTTTTTCACCAAAATTAAACGACAGGTTTTTTCATTTTAAAATATTGAAATTGAAAAAGTACACATTTTCAACGCTTACTTAGATAAACCTTAATTTTTGAGTTTAAGGTCTATAAAAAAAAGGTTTATATGTACTTAAAAAAAGATGACTTTAATTGTGTGTTAAAAAGTTTAAAGAATAATTCAATAAAATTTGACAGCTAGGCTACCCTGGCATTTTTAAAAATCGAGGATTACATTGTTCATTGGTTTAAAAAAATTCTCTCCTCGTAAACAACTAAAGGGGGTAACTTTTGGAATTTCCTGTCCAAAAACGTCTCGAACGATTTTGTCCAAAATTTGCAAAAACATAGTAGATTTAGTCAAGTGTCATGTATCAAATATACAAAAATAACGAAAATTAAACGACAGGAAATTTTTTGGGGTGGGGTGTTGTACATTCTTAAATATATTAAGAACCCAAAAACAAATGTAATGTTGTTACCTGCTCTGTATGCTGGAACCAGGTACGTACTTAATTATTGCATAATTATCACTTCTGAAATATTGAAGTCAGAAGGGTGGATGTTTTAAGGAATCACTGTCTAGTTTTGAGAGTATGCCAGGGCATCAACAATAGTGGGAAACATGGGATAATTTGCATAACGGGCGAAGCCCGTTATGTAAAATTATCTCATGTTTCCCAATTGTTGATGTTCAAAAACTCTCATAACTAGACAGTGATTCCTTATAATTCCATTTCATTGTGAAATAAAATTGTAGACTTAGACATTAAAAATGTAAGACTAATAGATTTAAATTACTCGAGGACTTCCATGCCATTTTCAATAGTCCTCGCACACTGACGTCAAACACAAAGGCAGCCGCACGAGATTTACATGCATATTTGGCCTCCTTGGCGCCAGACACAGAGACAGATGCGCAAGAGATTTGCTTGCGTAATTGGCCTCCTTAGCTGCTGACCTATCGACCTGCCTAATTTACATTCCGGCAGAATTATCAAGAAATAAATTCCCCCAACTTTCAAACAGTTATCACAGAGAAAAAAAAATAGAAATGGAAATATTTTCATGTTACTCCACAATAATTAAATCCATGCAGGAGATATAAACGATAAACATCGGCTGATATTTTTATTCGGGTCAGTCTGACAAATGGCGTTCTTTTTTCTGTGTATGTTTCATCCTTCAAAGAATTCGTAATTGTCATGAATTTTTGACGCCAGTTGAAAGATCGAATTGATTGTACATGAATTGTTTTACGTCCCATTCGAGAACCACATTTCTTACTTTTCTTGACTTTTATGGAACAGATCAAAATGTAATCCGGGCTCTTACTCTAACCCCTGCTTTTTATACATGTACTGTGACATGCCCTGCACATATCACAATATAAAAAAAGCACAGAGGTTAGAGTCAAAGCAATCTCGGATAAATCAAAATTATAACTGTTTTCTCTGTTTTATTTAATTGAAGTGTGTTTGAATATTTCCCGCCACATTACAAAACCTATTCTTAGACCGAAAGTCACATGACCAAACTTATTGGCTGCAGTGTTGTGTATAAAAACGAAAGAATGAATGAACAACATTAGACATTTAAACAAACTAGAAATTGACACAAGTGTTAAAAGAAAGAACAATGGATTTCAGGAAGAAGGCGGAGGAGGTGGCTGATAGACTACAGAGGTATTATAAAATGACGGAAGGGTGGACTTCCTCCAAGAAATCGGTGAGTTTTGTCAACACATGTCTCTTATAGCTGTTTAAACCCTAAACATGTGTACGATCAATTTATAGTGGACATTTTCTAATTATGCAAAGGATCGAGACCAGAAATGTTTTAATTAATCACACGATTTATTTATCAGGAATTTTAAGTCGAGAAGCGCGGCCTGTCATTAAATAGTAGTACTGTGGTCTATTATCGAGTCCTTTCCTTGTGTGTATACACAAGAACGTAACAATTTAAAGAATTTATTTAGTATGCAAAGTCTTTAAAGATGTCCTTGAACTTACTTAAGGTGGAGTTAAAAGTTTGTAGGATGATAATGATATAATTGTTACAAACAGCGGTTAATTTGAGGAGTTAGGTCTATGTACTTATCATTATAATTAAATATTTCTAGTATTCGAGAGCATCTGGACATTGTCCAAGGTGATGAATACTGTCTTATAACAGCTGTTATATAGCCAACATGTCTTGTAATTCATTCATTCTAATTACATAAACTTGCACAGATGAACAGCTAATGATCAGCTATTTCTTCCACTAGTCTTGATTTTATGTACCATGTATGTATACATGTGTATATACATTTGATAACTTAATTTGATGTAAAGACAATTTGCTTTAATATTAAGTAGTAGTTATCTTAAGTCTTAACACTAAAGTACATTGTTGGTATATTGTAAAAATTGCAAGATATGTCAGAGTGTGGGATTTATTGTTCTAACAAAACAAAATTTGAATGATGAAATTCCTTTCAGCTTGAACGGTTGAAATATAAACTCAAACTTAAGATTCATTATAATGAAAATATATTAAGTTACATGTGTAACAAAAGAAACATAAACCTATTCCATTGTCATTTCAAATGCAGTCATCCTGAGACATATATAGACAAGAATAGATATGGGTTACCCCATATCCAAAGATATTCGACTGTTAGATTCAATATGTTATACAGTGTTTATAATGACGTTAATAAAAAAAACTGCACTGTCTAATTATGGAACTGTTGTAAATATCGTGATTCCATAGCATTACGGTCACCCAGTCTCCTAACAAACAGTACACATAGGCCTATATGTACCTGTAGCCTTGTGTGCACACACGCATTTTAATGGAGCTGTCACACGCATCCACACTTTTAAATTTTTAAATTTTGTTTTGCCGAGCCAATTTTATATTTTTTTTAAAACTTTTCTTTTCCTTCAATTATATCATATAAATACGAATTCTGATTAATAAAAATTATACAATCCCTGTTGAACTTTATATTGTTTGTTCTAACATTTGCATCTGCAACAACTTGTGTTTAAAATGGCCGGGTTGGGAAAATAACCGGGTCGGAAAATGTGTTACTGAAAACATGGAAAACCTTTTTTGTTTTGAAAATGACTGAAATATACTAATATATTTGTCGCAGAAATTACTTACATTATTCAAGTTCTATATATAATGGTATGCTGAACTTCAATTTGATTTAGGCCTATCTAACCCATGCAGTTCTCGTTTTGCTACACATACCCTACAGTTTACAAAGTGTACACACGAGCAGGCCAGGGATTGAAAATTACCATTTAATAATACACACACACAGAATGATTAATTTTTTCTTTAAGAACAAATTGTATGATAATTAACGGACTATAAACATGTACTTAATACAACTGTTGATATAGTATTATCAATTCATTGGTGAAAAGATATGAATCGAAGAATGACCTAATTATTCTCTGTTATCAAACACGTAAAAAAAAAGGCTGAGGAGGTAGACAATTTGCTTAGGAATATTGATATTTTTTATTTGCATTTCGGGGGGAAAGTGACTTTCTAATGATATTTTGACGTTATTTTTGATTTCTTTAACAAATGACATACACAACTTTACTCTAATCATGAACAATAATGTTGTATCTACTTATCATGATGGAATTATATTAAGTTACATATGTGTGAGCTGCCGAAACATGAATACAGTTATATATCTTGCAAAGATAGTATGCATTGATCGAATATATAGAAAAAGAGATGAAAGATGAATTAACACAAACAATTAGTTTTTAATATTTCAACAACTGCATCTGATGTTTTTTGTAGGTATCTGAAATAGTAGTCCTTGAGAACAATTGACTGATAAATAGGTTTTAAATCAATTAGATGAGAGAATGGCGATCTAGTACTACTCTGGTCCTTAAGCTACACTGGCCTTATAGCTATATAATAGACAGCCAGAGACGTTATACAATATATGGTATCATATAGATGATGTAAAGGGGTACCTGTTTGACATAACGTTTCTTATCCCAGTGGTTTCATTATGAAAGTTTTTATCCCTCCATATAGTAGAGCTGTTTTTGATAGAAGAGATTGTATCTAGACTCCTTTCTTTATTTATTCCCTTTTTAATACATATCATTATCATTGTACCGATATAAATAAAATCGCAAAAATTATTATACATGTATATTTATGTTGGCAAATATTTAGGGATATCTTTTAACTGATGATATAGATCGAATCAAAAGGCATATACATGTACATATGAACATATACAGGTATCATATACTCTTACAATATGAATAAAATAAAAAAAACTTTTTTTTTCCAGAAAAATTTTGAAATTTCATACCGACAGTCTGAGGAATTTTCTGGACACTTGTAAGTAGCCTTCTTCAATGTCGTGGTATCATACACTGTGAAATCACTAATTTTTTTAGTTTTTTTTTTTTGGGGGGGGGGTGTAGTCTTCTAGGTATATATATATGGAGAGATCCATGAATTAATGACCAGAAATGTAAACTTTCATATGATGCTTTTACTCACTAAACATTTTCCAACCATGAAATTGAATCCCCACAAACCAATACATGTATTTTTCCCTGAAACCTAGAAGATTTACCGTATTACCCCCATGAAAATATGTGATTTTGCAGTAGGTACCTGTGCTTTTTGTACCCAGACTTGGACATGCAGTGAAGTCATATGTGAGGGTTGGTGTCAGCTGCTATAAAATTATACAAGTTTGAAAATTAGTTTATGATATAAAATACTTAGACAGTTTATAAGGGTGGACTTATTCTCTTCTGTTATATTCACCTCCAGATAAACTTACTTGAAAACCCTAAAACTAAAATTCACCAGACAGATATGTTTGACTGTACCTGTCAATTTTAATTGACAGATGAGATGGACTAGAACAGGCATATTGAAATCTGACACAGTTACTCATGCCCCTAACATTCTCTGGGAGTTACATGATGGAGGTGAACATGCACACTTAATGGTTCAATGCCTTTAATTAAACTCATGCATCACACAATTATGCGGTAATGAGTTTCACTCAAGATAAATATTTAAACTTATTTTTTGTTAAGGATAAAACTCATAAAAGTAAGATTTTATTAAAAGTGTTTTTTTGTCTTAATTTTGGCAGCAACCAAGATCTGTCTGTCTTTTCATGTAAAAAAGCAACTGCACACATTTCTCTCTTTAAGAAATCAAACCAAAAGGTTATTCCAATTTCTTGATTCAAATTAAATCAAGTGACACACATAAAGAGGGCAGGTTCAAACAAGAGGTGTTAAAACAATAAATCTCTTGTCTAAACCCCACCAGTCTATATAGTCGGCCAAGATGCTGTAGATTAACATAAGGAATGCTTGATATCAAAACCACAAACACAACATAAAAGAAACAACTGTCTGCTCAGGTGCCTGCACCAGGTGTGATCTCTAACATACTCAGTGTGGTAGAGCCAGCAAAAGTTCAAACCAACAAATATTCTACTTATCAGGAAACATTTCATGTTTTTTTTTTTTTTTTGACTTCTATTGCTGCTGGAAGTCGAGAGAAGAGAAGAACATAATGTAAAAACATGTATAGATATATATTTAAATGGGAATTTTGAACTACATGAGTACAGATCTAGAAAAATATCATGCTCTTTATCATGAAAAAGACAGAAAATTATCATATATCATTGCATTTGTTGCAGACTTTTGGTTCTGAGTTCAAATATCTAGAAATGTCAAACCTCCTGTATAACTATCAGGAAGTAATCTGAAGACCTGAAGTTTCAATTCAGTAATTTCCAGTACTGATACAAAAAAATTGATTTGATAATCTATCTGAAAAGTTGTGCCTAAATAAACAGCAATGTAATTGTTCATTTTCACAAATTAGTTTTTAAAGGGAATTTCCATATCACACTGCTAGATTTTCTGAAGTCTAGATCACCATGCTCACAGAACCAAAGATAAAGTATCAATAAAATTCTCATAAAAGACTAATCTGTGCTCTATCTGTCTATATTTAACAGTTGATTACATAGCTTCAGTGCTTAGAATTACACATGACATTAGTGGGAATCAGTTGATTAGAAGCTTCCTGTATTTTAATCATTTCTCCATCCCCTAGTGCTTCAAATTAAAATGTTCTTTATGCCATACAGGAAACAGATTGCATGTATGTTGTACTTAAGTATTCATTCTGATGCTAAAACTTTGGTACAATATTATATAATGTTCTTGTCAAATTGTTGTGTGTTAAGATATACTTACATGTAACAAGCATTATGAAGTACAGCATGCTAATTAAGAGAATCTGTGCTTCCCACTTTAGGAAAAAAGAAGAGCATGTGTGGATGTGGGGGTGGGGGTGTGGTTGGGGGTGGGTAGGGCGACTGGTCTGATCATACTGTAAGAGGAGTGCCATGGGAGGTGCCAAAGGGTGCTTATATAATGACATTTTATTGTAAAAGCTCAAAAGTCTTTTTTTAGGCCATTTGGAGTTGTGGTATAAAATTTCATAGCAAATTAGCTACAAGGCGTCTTAAATTGTAATATTGTGTGTAAATGACAGTGTTAAAACAGACAGAATTGACGAATTTTTTTACCTTTGACATTTTGACCTCAAAATCAATAGGGATCTTCCTAATAGGGTACAGGGAGTTTATGTAAAATTTCATTGCAAAATTGTGAGGAAATGAAAGTGTTACAGTTATAGAGAAATTCATTTCAGACAGACAGACAGATGGACAGCTAAAAGACAGACATACTGAAATTAATATCACTCACTTTCAGTGAAAGCGGGGGACAATCAAAACATAGTAATAAGCAAAATACACTTAATATAATGAATCAGGCTAAATACAACAAGCTGATGTAACACTTACCTAAAATGATAAAATAAATCATATATGTCAGATATTGCTCATCCTGTTGGCACTTAATTTGCTTATATATTTGTGTTTTAGCTAAAACATTAGCTAAAACACAAATTTAAGCAAATTAAGTTCCAACAGGGTGAGCATTAGTGTAAATACATTAAAAATAAATTGAATGTTAAAAAGATGAATATTCAATAATGAGTGTTTTTCAAAGTATCAACCATCCCAACGGACTCCTTTTCAAAAAAATGTTGAGAGTGTGTGCATCATTCTATATTATTAGATTCTCACCCGTCATTTCCAACAATTTTAGTACCCAGGAAACTTGTTTCATGTTACAAATATACAGGGTGTTTTAGTCCAATTAATGCATCTGTATCATAGATTTAGACAGAGTGGCTTTGCATTCCTTATACATTCACTCACTCTCATGACTGTGTGGTCTGAATTCTTAGCGATTCAAATAAGGTATGACAAGTCTTGTGTAATGAGCTTGCACTCTATTAAACTTGAGAACGTGGATTAAAGTGATTTTTCTCATGCTCTCCTAAGCAAGCAATTTTCAAGGTAAGGGGCTGGTGATATCAAAGATTAAATATGAGCCTTGACACAGACAAACTTTCCTATATATATATCTCTAAAGATTCTGATCGAATTAAAAACTTCAGTGAAATATTTGCAGATTGTATTGATTCTATTTCAACAATTTTTCATTTCTCTGTTGATTTGTAAGTTTATACTTTTAAAGATAATCATATAGCACTAAGCTATGTACTCCTGATACCTCCTAGGCCATTGTCCCTATGGGGTGTGCCTGCAATTGACGGCATTTAAAAAAATCATCAGACACAATACATTCTGATGATCTTATCTGTTGACCTTTGCTATTGTGGACTAACTCTCCACCTCACAATAAATAAAGTGTCCTTAACTTGTGGCTGGGCAAAGGTCAAGCTGTAAATAGTCCTAAAGGGTAAACGTTAATGTCTCTGGTCACTTAAGGTGTTGGTACTGTCACTCAAGTGCTGGAATGAATGGCCGATGTCTGCGGTCACCCAGTGCATCTGTCTGTACTGAGTGACTTATCATTCTACATGCAGTCAATATCTCTATTATAAATGATCTAGAGTTCATGACTAGGGATTTTTGTGTTATGTAATACAATCTTAAAATAAAAACAATTGGAATCTCTATTATCAAATGGTAACCCAGTGATTTATATGGGTAGAAATAATTTCAGTTTCCAGAGCACCTGAGCAGTTCAGTTGGGTACAATGTACAAAGATAATGTCACGAAATTAAAACTAACTTATTCATATATTTTATAAAAAGTGATTTTATGCTGAATGGCTTTAAGTGTCGTAGAAATATTCAATACTGTACTTTTAATTCACTGTACAAAGGACACAAGGGGGCGGGGGAAGTGGACCAAGTTTCAGGAACTTAGAGGGAGGAACTCATGCACCAAATCTTGATGAACAGATATTCTTGTTATGAAGGAATTAATTATAAAGCAATTTAAACTGTGTGCACATGGTTTCTACTTACTTTTCACAGACTCAAGAGAGGTTATTGTTTTGAATGTGTGAATTACAACATTTATAGATCATTTTTCATATCAAAGTTCTGCCAGAAACAGTCTGTTGACTTGATGTTAAACAATATACAATCAATCAATCATATATCAAAGCTCAATAAGGCCAAAGTTTTTTTTTTCTCTTGGTTTACGATTCCGCCGACCCTATAGTCAGATTTTTCTTTTGAGTTAGTTTGACAGTTAGGTGGTATACTACATCATTTACCAATGCCTCTGAAAAATGTTTTCACAGTTTCTTAAATATTTTGAATTATATAATTATAAGTATACATCAAAGAATAAAATTATAGAACTATTACCATGATTACAGCCATACATGTATTCACATTTCTGTACATTCAGGTGATTCGATCATGTTTTCCCTCTTGCTACACTGAATTCAGGCTTCCTAACTTTAATCAAGAAAATGTCTTCAATTAAAATCTCTTTTTCGACATTGATTATAGATATACGGGGTAAATAAAGATCCCGTGATGCAGAAATTAGCAACATGTGCTTGAGTATAAGCAGCCCTTCTCCTAGTGTTTCCAGACAGACATTTCTTTAAATATCTACATCAGCATTCAGGTGCAGCTTGATTAAAGTTCAAATAAATTTTCTGAACTCATTTTGAAAAAATGTGCTAGAATTAAAAATTCCGAGTAAATAAGGCATCCAGGTTAAAAAAAAGTTATATTAATGAACTTGAAGAAATTTACTTAACTGTGTAAATTTTTAGTGTAAAGTAATTTTTTCGTTCAATTTTTCCTGGTATTGCAGATATAAAGGAGAGGCTATTTATAACTGTCCCCCCAAAACTGTGTTTGATTATGTAGAACCTCTGCCTGATGGCCCTAGAGCTAAATGGGACACCAATATGAAGAAAATTGAAATCTTGAAATGGATAGAAAAAGTAAGTATGAGTCACAGAGATGGGTATCGATCGTTAAAAATTTTGTATCCTGATGCATGTATTATCACGATCTTTCCCCAAATTATCATGATGATATTGTGATATTTTTTTGTGCAATTTTTACTTTAATTTCAAATTAATTTCCTTAATATTTTTTTTTCAAATATGCTATAAAGACATATCTTTTATGTATAAATATAAAAGCATGATTGGATGCCACTTTTCAACTGCAATGTTTTCAACATTTCTTACACTTAATTCATGTAAGTGTTTTTTAATAGTTTGAACAAATAAATAAATGAATAATTTCTGGAATTGAAAATAATGTACTAAATACTTATATTCTAGTCTTTGTTTATTGATAAATATCACACAATAAGAAATCAGGATATATGTATACTGATAAAATCAGGCATCCCTAATGATTCTTTAAGAAAACATACAATTTTTTTTAAAAAAATACATGTAGTGTTTTTTTAGGGGTTAAAGATTCTTTTTTACTAAATACTAAAAAAAATCCTTGAGGGGTTGGTATATTATTATTATATTTTTATTATTAATGCATTTGAAAGCTTTTCAGCCATTTACTGTATGTCTGTAAAAATAGGAAACGATTAATTCTGGACCTATTACTTTAGAAGACTATAACTAGAAATTTGACTGATCTGTTCATAAAACTAATGCCTTTCATCATTTTTAGCTCACCTGAGCCGAAGGCTCAAGTGAGCTTTTCTGATCACATTTTGTCCGTCGTCCGTCCGTCTGTCTGTCCGTCTGTATTTTCTGTCTGTCCGTCTGTCTGTCTGTAAACTTTTCACATTTTCGACTTCTTCTCAAGAGCCACTGGGCCAATTTTGACCAAACTTGGTACAAAGCATCCTTGGGTAAAGGGGAATCTAAATTGTTAAAATGAAGGGACATATCCCCTCGCAAGGGGAGATAATCAAAAAAAAAGACAAAAATAGGGTTGGGTCATTAAAAAATCTTCTTCTCAAGAACCACTGGGCCAGTAAAGCTGAAACTTACGTGGAAGCATCCTGGCGTAGTGTAGATTCTAAATTGTTCAAATCATGACCCCCAGGGGAAGGGCGGGGCCACAATGGGGAATCAAAGTTTTATATAGAAATATATAGGAAAAATCTTTGAAAATCTTCTTCTCAAGAACCACTGGGCCAGAAAAGCTGAAACTTATGTGGAAGCATCCTGGTATAATGTAGATTCTAAATTGTTCACATCATGACCCCCGGGGGAAGGGCGGAGCCACAATGGGGAATCAAAGTTTTACATAGAAATATATAGGAAAAATCTTTGAAAATCTTCTTCTCAAGAACCACTGGGCCAGAAAAGCTGAAACTTATGTGGAAGCATCCTGGTATAATGTAGATTCTAAATTGTTCAAATCATGACCCCCGGGGGAAGGGCGGGGCCACAATGGGGAATCAAAGTTTTATATAGTAATATAAAGGAAAAATCTTTGAAAATCTTCTTCTCAAGAACCACTGGGCCAGAAAAGCTGAAACTTATGAAGAAGCATCCTGGTATAATGTAGATTCTAAATTGTTCAAATCATGACCCCCGGGGGAAGGGCGGGGCCACAATGGGGAATCAAAGTTTTATATAGAAATATATAGGAAAAATCTTTGAAAATCTTCTTCTCAAGAACCACTGGGCCAGAAAAGCTGAAACTTATGTGGAAGCATCCTGGTATAATGTAGATTCTAAATTGTTCAAATCATGACCCCCGGGGGAAGGGCGGGGCCACAATGGGGAATCAAAGTTTTACATAGAAATATATAGGAAAAATCTTTGAAAATCTTCTTCTCAAGAACCACTGGGCCAGAAAAGCTGAAACTTATGTGGAAGCACCCTGGTATAATGTAGATTTTAAATTGTTCAGATCATGACCCCCGGGGGAAGGGCGGGGCCATTATAGGGAATCAAAGTTTTATATAAAAAATATATAGGAAAAATCTTTGAAAATCTTCTTCTCAAGAACCACTGGGCCAGAAAATCTGAAACTTATGTGGAAGCATCTGGGGTAGTGTAATTCTTAATTGTAGGAATCATGACCCCCAGGGGAAGGGCGGGGCCACAATGGGGAATCAAAGTTTTATATAGAAATATATATGAAAAATCTTTCAAAATCTTCTTCTCAAGAACCACTGGGCCAGAAAAAGTGAAGCTTATGTGGAAGCATTCTTGGGTAGTGTAAATTCTAAATTGTAGGAATCATGACCCTTGGGAGAAGGGTGGGGCCATTATAGGGAATCAAAGTTTTACATAGAAATATATAGGAAAAATCTTTGAAAATCCTCTTCTCACAATCTAATTAAAATTAGATGTTAGATCACGTCAGAAGTCAAATTCTGTCAACCAATCAAATCGTCACTGGCAAAATCATCGTATATTGTTGAAGCGAATAAGTCTAGAACCGTTCCGAATCTGACCTCTGACGTGACCCTCAATGGGATGTTGTTAGATGTTAGTGTAGCGAGTATGCGAGCGGATCTAACATCTAATTTTAATAAGATTGTTCTTCCCAGGAACCACTGGGCCAAAAAAGCTGAAACATATGTGCCCATGGAAAGTTCATGGGGTAGTGTAGATTTCAAAATTTCTAAATCATTATCAGTGGGGAAGGGTTGGGATGCATTATGTATAACAAGGGGGAAATCTGGTAAAGAACAGAATGGTCAAAGCTTCTCAGGTGAGCGATGTGGCCCATGGGCCTCTTGTTATATAACCTAGGTAAGAAGCTATTGACTGAATGGAGTCTGAAATAATGATCGAAGAAAACACAAATGTTGTCACCAGATTTACTGATGTGAAAGTTGTTTTATCCTCTGAATATTGAGTTAGAAATACCTTAAATTCATATAGATACCACTTCCATTAAGTTAACGGAAATCATTGATTTCTCTGCAGTTTTTAGCTCACCTGAGCCGAAGGCTATGTTATGTCACATTTTGTCCGGCGTCCGTCTGTCTGTCTATTCTGTCTAGCTGTCCGTCCGTTGTCCTTTTTAAATTTTCGATAAGCTGTTTCAACCAAACTTGCCAAATTTGGGTGAAGGGGATTCAAGTTTGTTCAAATGAAGGGCCACGCCCTCATTCAAGGGGATTTGAGAAAAAAATTTGGTGGTATGTTTTAAAAATCTTCTTCTCAAAACCACTGTGCCAAAAGATGAAACTTATGGGGAAACATCCTTAGGTAGTGTAGTTCAAGTTTGTTTTCTGTCCCCCGGGGGTAGGGCGGGGCCAAAATGGCTAGCAAAGTTTGACATAGAAATATATAGGAAAATTCTAAAAATCTTCTTCTCAAAATGACAAAGCCATAATTCATCAAATTTATATGGAAGCATGCTCAGGTAGTGTAGATTCAAGTTTGTTCAAATCATGACCCCCGGGGGTAGGGCGGGGCCAAAATGGCCGACCAAAGTTTGACATAGATATATATAGGAAAATTCTTTAAAAATCTTCTTCTCAAGAATGACAAAACCATAATTCATCAAATTTATATGGAAGCATGCTCAGGTAGTGTAGATTCAAGTTTGTTCAAATCATGACCCCCGAAAACATATGGCCACCAAAGTTTGACATAGAAATATATAGTATAATTCTTTAAAAATCTTCTTCTCAAGAATGACAAAGCCATAATTCATCATATTTATTTTTTTGTAGATTCAAGTTTGTTTCATGACCCCTCGGGATACATGGCCAAAATGGCCGACCAAAGTTTGACATAGAAATATATAGGAAAATTCTTTAAAAATCTTCTTCTCAAGAATGACAAAGCCATAATTCATCATAGTTATATGGAAGCATGCTCAATAGTAGATTCAAGTTTGTTCAAATCATGACCCCCGGGGGTACTGGCTGACCAAAGTTTTTAATTATATATAGGAAAATTCTTTAGAAATCATTTTCTAAAAAATAGCAAATCCATGATTGGTCATTTGGATTTATACTTTACAATAAAAAGCCATTTTCTACTTTTTCCTACCCTTAGTGCTCAGGTGAGTGATGTGGCCCATGGGCCTCTTGTCATTGTATGTTATGTGGGCGATAATTTTTACATTATTTCCTTTTTAAAATAAGCTGTTAGATATGATTGAAATTATGCAGGAATTCTGAAGGTAATAGGATTAAAAAACAATAATTTACATGTCTACTAAATAAAACAGATACCGAGTCTCAGAAGTTCAATTGATTTTCTGAGGGGAATACTAAGAACATAGCTAGCAGGTTTCCTGACTAAAGGATATAAAAATAAAATGATCTAAATTTAACCTTAATGAGAGATTGCTGCTGTAGGTTAGAGTAAAGTACAGGGAAGCATACTTCTTTCTTTCTGGGGCAGGTTAATTGACCTAATTTTTTTTTTGGGAAACTTTAATTAAAAAGTATTTATCACAAAAAGAAAACATATAGGTCACATACAGTCCAGAACATATGTATATTATTAAAGTAAAGTTAATTTAATTATTTTTTTGATTCAAATAGTTTAAACCTGAACATGCCAAGACTTTCATAAAAAAAAACACGACACAATTAACAGCTGTCTATATTGAAATATGAAAATATACAGTTTTCAGTTGCAGGACTTAATATGTAATTTAGGATTAATATTTTGGTAGTATGTGCATTTGGATGGTTATTTTATAAAGTAAGAGAAATGTCAAACCCAAATTACCTCAAAATAAGATTTTAGTAATCAAGAACTTTTTAGCTCACCTGAGCCGAAGGCTCAAGTGAGCTTTTCTGATCACATTTTGTCCGTCGTCCGTCCGTCTGTCTAGCTGTCTGTCTGTCCATCTGTCTGTCTGTAAACTTTTCGCATTTCCGACTTCTTCTCAAGAACCAATGGACCAATTTTAACCAAACTTGGTACAAAGCATCCTTGGGTGAAGGGGAGTTTAAATTGTTAAAATGAAGGGCCAAATCCCCTTACAAGGGGAGATAATCAAGAAAAGACAAAAATAGGGTGGGGTCACTAAAAAATCTTCTTCTCAAGAACCACTGGGCCAAGAAAGCTGAAACTTATGTGGAAGCATCCTTGGGTAGTGTAGATATTAAATTGTTAAAATCATGACCCCCGGGGGTAGGGCGGGGCCACAATAGGGAATCCAAGTTTTACATAGAAATATATAGAACAAATCTTTAAAAATCTTCTTCTCAAGAACCACTGGGCCAGGAAAGCTGAAACTTATGTGGAAGCATCCTTGGGTAGTGTAGATATTAAATTGTTAAAATCATGACCCCCGGGGGTAGGGCGGGGCCACAATAGGGAATCCAAGTTTTACATAGAAATATATAGAACAAATCTTTAAAAATCTTCTCCTCAAAAACCACTGGGCCAGGAAAGCTGAAACTTATGTGGAAGCATCCTGGCCGATTCCTGGGGTAGTGTAGATTCTAAAGTTTTAGAATCATTAAAGGTGGTAGTGAGCATGATAGGTATAGCAAGAGGGGGAATCTGGTAAAGGAATGCATCACCCAAGTTACTCAGGTGAGCGATGTGGCCCATGGGCCTCTTGTTTTACCTTTCCTCAAAGAAGTTGGAGGAGGGGTTTTAACATCCTCAGCACTGATGACTGTAAAAGGTCTTTGGAAGTGCTTCTTTATGTATGCCCAATCATTTGGACAATGTTTTTAGCATGTCTAATATACCAGTCAGGTTTCAGATGCTGCATTTTCACCCAAAAATGAGCATGTTAAAATGATTTTAAACTCTGAGCAAGTTGAAATTTTAGAGCAGCTATATGGGTTTCATCGTCAAGTAATTGTGAACTCTTTATTAAGCAGACTTGCAGGGATTATGCATCTAAGGGTGCACAATACAAGACCTGCTTTGGATGCTGGTCCTGACCTATATTTTCTGCATGAGTTATCAGGTTTAAGTTTTTGGAATAGGCCGGTATATTCCGAAATAACTATAAAACCCTTTGTTGACCAAACTTAATACGCAAGTTTCGAGATTATCTCCCTTTGTGTGCTCTTTCGTTGAGGAGGGGAGTTTTGTTGCCGCGTAAACAAACAGGTGGGACAGATATTTGATACTGTGTATGTTGGATACATTGCATCATCGATATACCGGTTTATCATAACTACACAATTGTCAGGATGCACTCTGCAGCTTGAGAATAACCGAATTAAATTAAAGGCATCAATTTTAAATCAAAAATATCGAAACAAAAAAGCAAATATCAGTGGATGTGAGACTTTTCGGGCGGGGGAAGATATATGGACCTCTAATAAATACTATACACATGCATCTGGTCATTGCACATCGGGAATCTAAATTACATATTGATTCTTTTCCTTAATTTATTTTAACTTAAGAAACACTTACTTTTTAAAAAATGTTCGTACAATCAAGAAAATCTGTTACTTTATCTAAAGACATAAGGACGTTTCTTTCATTTTCAAGTACCCGAAAAATTATAGTAGATTTGTAAATATGCATAGTTGAGCTTGATAAAATCATCAAATCCATCACTGCTTAACATTATTATATTTCTATAACATTTAATTAATTTTGAAAGCCATAAATATCGTTTTTTTATTGATGCACTTTTGTATACAGAGACATCCTGTCCCACCTCCATGCTAAAATGGGTACTTTTTGCGCCTCTATCTTAGGAGAGTTACAATCTCGAAACTGGCGTATTGTATCTACATGTAAGAATGCAGACTAACAGACTGGCTTCAGATGCTTGATTTGACCTGCATTTTCTGGATGAGTGACTGGTTTTACAACAATTAAGCTAATCATCATAAGTGATCATTCCCAAGAAACTCCATGTCTTACCTAAACCTGCACACAATAATTTATATTTGTAAATGTGGATAAAAACCTAACATTTATTGAGGTGATCTCTGTAATCCTTGCTTAAACACCTATGTTAAAATTGCTTGCAAGCTATTTAGGTGTAACACACTTGAAGAATATGTTTTACTAAATTATTATACTAATTATAATTAATACATGTATCAATGATTAGAAAGAAAATATATGAAGTATCAATAAAAGCAATAATGTAAATGTTCTGGGTATATATTTGTTTTCATGCTATATCTTAAGCTAAACTGCTGTAATGCAGTAATATATTTTTGTTTCTGTTTCAGCCTGATTTAAGAATAAATCGAGCTTGTACTGCCAGTGCAATGCTTGGCCTGATCTCACCTCGAGACTTTGTAGATCTCATTCTCATACGAGACACAGAGGAATGTCTTTCAACAAATGGTAATATCACAATAGAAGATTGGAAATGTTATTTTTAAAAATATAAATTTGATTCAACTTTTCTGTTTGATAGCACTTCACAGTGAGAGTTCTATATCCTAAACTGAAATATATATATCGTTAAGACTCCACATTGGATGAAGCTTATATTGCTAGGGTTGTTCTTCATATTCTAGTGTAAAAGAATATAACATGAATCAGAAGATGGCTCCTATGTGATGTAACGAGATTTATCATTAGAAGTTTTAATATAGACATAAAACTTCTTGAAGTAAGCCATTAGAAAATTTCATTAACCTTTTATTGATAATATCAAAATGGATCATATTTATATAGTCCGCTTATCCTGCTCCAAATAAAGATGTTTCAACAAATATTTCAACTATAGCCATATCTATAGAATTATTCGTATAAATGATAATTTGTACATGTGTCCATTTTATTTATTTATTTTATTAGTTATTGTTTATTAAAATTGAACAGGAAAAATGCAGAAAAGTACATGTACATAATTTGCTAAAATAAAATATGATGTGGGTTTAAAATAAGAGAGCTGCATTGACTGAATTCCAAATGCTGATAAGAAAATCATATAACAACCACTTATCTGAAAAAAATTCTTGAAACAATCATCAATAAATTGCCTGATAAAGGATCTTTCCATCTTCAGAGGAATTAAATATGGATACAAATGTCCCTTAATACTCCCTATCTCTTTTGATAAAATTTCCAGAAATAGAATATAAGTCCACTGAAATCATATCTGGAAACAAACATTTGATAGACATCTGGGAATGGTATAACTCAGTCTGTACCACAGGGAAGTTTGTATTCATTTTAAGCTAATTAATCTTCCTCATTTAAAAAGGTCATTAATTTCCTTAGTTATTGTCTTATTAATGCATTGAACTCTGAAAAAAACAGAAAAGTACATGTACATAATTTGGTACATTAAAAATATTGTCTGTTAAAACCCCATCCAATGCTGTTTTTTTTATCTCCCTCTCTTCCTTTTTCTCCCTTTTGTTTCTCTATATGACTATGATCAAAGCATAGAAAGTGTTACAACTGATCATGCTGATCTGAAAAAAATTGTTGATTATGCAATCATGCAATAAATTGCACATGATAAAGGAGTGCACTATGTGTCAAACCCTGCTTCATTTAGGCATAGTACATGCATAATGCAACACTAATTATTATGCTGACTGTTGTTATTATTTATGCTCAATCCATTTGATTTTTTTAATGGTGGTAACAATTTCCAGCACTTGCAAAAGCTCATAAAATCTTCATGCTAAAATTAGTTGCATGCTTAGTTATTTTGGTTACTAACTCTAAATAAATCAGGATTTTCTGTCCCAAAGATACTCATCTTTATTTTCTGTTTTGTTAGTACTTAGTAAGACTGATTTGTTTACAGACGTGGATTCACATTGATAATTTTCTTTTACATCCTTCAATCAAGCGCTATATAAAAAAGCATTTTCCTCATATCAATTTAAAAAGGTATGTAATTAGTTTGAAACTTTGTTGTACACATTTATTAATGCAGTCCTTAGAATAAATTTAACTGTTTTCAAATAATATTTGTCTATTTTCTCTTCTTCTGTCAATAAATTAAGTTTATATATTTAATAAAATTCTCCCAATCAGTGATCGTCTCTGTGGCGTAATCGATAAGGCATCGGACTAGCATTGTGTCCATTGTGTCCATTGTGCATTGAAGAATTTCTCTAAAAGAAGGCCGTATGACTATGATCAAAGCTATATAAATCCTTAGACCACTATGCGATAATAGTAGGGTATGGGTTATATAGAGACAAACTGACAGGAAGCATAATAATTAATAGCAGTGACATTTTGGTCTTCCTTCCTAGATATAAGCTTGGTTTGATTTCAGCTATCAGTATCGATTACCCAGAATGCCCGGAGGCCAAGGATCATGTGCGGGGTTGGAACTGGTCATGTGGCATGATCTGTGTCAAATACCCAGAGTAAGTCACATGACTGTACCCAGCATGCCATGCGCCTAAAGGAATGGCTTAATTTAGACTAACACCTCTATTTTTTCTAATACCTACGTCTATAATTTCTTTTTCATTTGTTAAATGTGATTCACATGACAATTTTGTAGAAAAAAGGTACACTTACACTTCCATAAAAGTTGATTCATGTTATCATGATAATAACAAGTGTATATTGTAATGATAAATAAATCATGAATGAAAAAGATAAAATCTATCAAGGTTTAATTAATCAGCTAAACTCAAGAGTTCACAAAGACACAGAATACTAGTATACAGAGGAAGATTACAAAATGGTCCTATAAGTTCTCTTCATTATTTGCAATGCAGAGTATGTTTATTGTCATGGCTTCAGACATAATTTGCTAATCCCTTTACATGTATATTGGCTGCTTTGGTGCCTTCAGATAATTAAGTTTTGCTACTTGAGAAATATCATTATCCTCGAAATACAAAAAGTTCCTAATAGTTTTAACACTTCCTTAGACTGTTAACACAGAGTGATAATGATAATATCAAAGCAGAGTGAAATGAATATTTTCAAGTAGCAAAAATGTATGAATGGGTTGCTTGCACATAAATGGTCAGTGCTTGTTACTTTGAGCTTGTTTTGTAGCATGTAGTGTGGAGCTAGAGGAATTTCCGGAAGAAAAGAAGTATGTAAGAGGATGGAATTACCCCTGTGGAATACTAGTTATAAAATATCCATCGTAAGTAGGATTAGGAAAAAGTCAAAAATTTAACATCACCATTTTTTCCACATATGTTTGGCTTTGATGTTAAGTCATTTTAAACAATCCCAAGTTTAATTGAAATGTAGTGACATTTTTATACCCCCCGCAAACAAAGTTTGGGGGGGGGTATATAGGAATCAACTTGTCCGTCTGTCTAGCTGTCTGTCTGTCCGTCTGTCTGTGCAAACGTGTCCGGTCCATATCTTTCTTACGGAGGAACATTACAATCTACTACTCCACACAAAGATTGCCCATGACCTGAGGGTATGTCATGACCTTGACCCAAGGTCATTTGGGGAACTTCAAGGTCACTGGAAGAAAAAATTCATTATTCGTGTCCGGTCCATATCTTTCTTATGTTTAAACTTGGTAGGTTCTAATATCATACAAAGATTGCTCATCACCTAAGGGTGTGTTTTGACCTTGGGTCAAGGTCATTTAGGGACAAGGTCACTGAAAGAAAAATTTCATAATTGGTGTCCAGTCCATATCTTTCTTATGGATAAACTTGGTAGGTTCTAATTTCACACAAAGATTGCTCATGACCACAGGGTGTGTCATGACCTTGACCCAAGGTTTTTGGGGAAGTTCAAGGTCACTGGAAGAAAAATTTCATAATTCGTGTCCGGTCCATATCTTTCTTATGGATAAACTTGGTAGGTTCTAATTTCACACAAAGATTGCTCATGACCACAGGGTGTGTCATGACCTTGACCCAAGGTTCTTTGGGGAAGTTCAAGGTCACTGGAAGAAAAATTTCATAATTCGTGTGTGGTCCATATCTTTCTTATGGATGTAGGTTCAATTTCACACAAAGATTGCCATGACCCAAGGGTGTGTCATGACCTTGACCCAAGGTCATTTGGGGAAGTTCAAGGTCACTGGAAGAAAAATTTAATACTTTGTGTTCATTAGTGGTGTCTGATTCCTCCTGTCCAAGGATGTGTCATGACCTTGGGTCAAGGTCATTATGGTCACTAAGAAAAATTTTGTTATTGGTGTCTGGTCCATATCTTTCTTACGGATAAACTTGGTAAGTTCTCATTTCACACAAAGATTGCTCATGACCTAAGGATGTGTCATGACCTTGGGTCAAGGTCATTTGGGGAAGTTCAAGGTCACTGGAAGAAAAATTTTATAATTCATGTACGGTCCATATTTTTCTCATGGATAAACTTGGTAAGTTCCTAATTCACACAAAGATTCCTCATGACCTAAGGGTGTGTCATGACCTTGACCCAAGGTCATCTGTGCAAGTTCAAGGTCACTGAAAGGAAAATTTCATAAATTGTGTCTGGTTCATATCTTTTTTATTGAAAAACTTGAATCTACTACTTCACACAAACATTGCTTATGACCTGAGGTTGTGTCATGACTTTGAACCAAGGTCATTTATGCAAGTTCAAGGTCACTGACAGAAAAAGTTCATAATTCATGTCTGGTCAGTATATTTAGTCTATTTTTTTTATTAGGCTGCGCCTTTGTTTCATTTATAAAAAATATAATGAGCAATTACATTTGTACTAAAAATGTTTTAGCATTTCTCTCTTTTCTTAGATCCATAAAATATTCATGATTTAGCACTTCTGAAAAACCCAGCGGGGGTATTTTGTCCCGTTTGGACAGTTCTAGTTGTTATTGATTCACCAAACATGTAGCATACCATTAAAAAAAATTAAATAAAAAAATATCTTATTTTTATTCATTTTTTCATTTTAAAGTATTATAGAACGATTCTGAAAACAACAACTTAGCAGGTGATTTTGAATGTCTTCATGCGTGTCTGAAAAGTCACGGGAAATTTTAACATTTACATACTATTTTCCAATAACAGTTAACGCATTATCTACATGTAACAAAAATAAAACAGATAAATGTTGAGGGAAGCTATCCTTGAATCACACACTTTACAAAATTAACTTTGAAATGTTGAGCACCATCCAAGATAAACTTAGGAAATGTAGATGAAAGCTCTGTTTCATTTTTAAAGGTTGAATTATTATTTCCATCTGTATTTTCTCTAGTAGTGCTCGAAAATTTATAGTCTTTGATATGAAAAAAATAAAGAAAACAAAATTATCAGAAACTTATCACCGTCTGTTCTTGCAAATATAACATCATTGTTTCTTTCTTGCAAGTATAACATCACTGTTTCTTTCTTGCAAGTATAACATCACCCTTTTTTTCTTCATGACCCCCGAAGGAAGATTATCTTTGATTGCTCCAATGGCTAAAAATGTGAATGTTTTAGATGTTGTTGGCATTTTGCAGACTCTTCGCTTAATATCGATTTTTTTTCCCCACCGAGTACAATTTGATTCTATTTTCTACTGCTTTCGTTGAATTATAGACAGCGTGACATTAATTTATAGCTAGTCTGTTTATTATCACTTTTTTGATAGAAATGTATGTTTGATGAAGACTTAACTTTTCTGCTGCGTTTCTCAGAGCCAGATTTTGTTTCTTTAATGATTTAATTGTAAATAGTGCAGTAGCGACAAAGTAAGGGGAAACCCTCTTTTCCTCTTATTGCTAAGGTAAATATTGTTTTAAATAGTTTTAAATGAGTATTGAATAAAAAACATCTAGAAGAAAAAATACATATGTAAATGAATGTTGCATTTCTTATCAGTTTATAAAAGTATGTACATGATAACTAATTTTAAAGCTTGTAGAAATTCTTTGTGAAGTGTAAATAGAAATAATATCTTGGAATTGAAAACAAAATAAGATCGCGCGATTTTTTTTTTCGCTTATCTAGAATAGAAAAATATTTTGAACTTTACAAAGGTACTTGGGGAAAAACTATGCAGACTGGTATTCTGTTAAAAAAGAAATCCTCAGAGAAGGTCAGGTGAACAGATAAAGTCTAGTGCCCGGTATTTAAATATTTCACGTAATCGGCTGCTGATGTATCTTATACATGAAATACATGTACTTCTAACCAATGTTATTAATTTTGTATGGATTCTATTTATACCTGTATGCATATATATATACTGACACGCAAAAACTCAAGCAGTTATCTACAAATATCTTGCAATATCCACAATTATCCAAATATCCACAAATATTTTAACAGCGAGAAACAACTTGATTAACAAGCAAAGTCAAAGAATTGTGGTCCCCGCTTTCGGTGTCTTTGTGGGTGAGATGTCATTATTTATGGCATATTATGTCAAATATGAACACCCTACCATATGTCATTCAGAAATTATCACCAAAGTTGGATTTTTTGAAAATTAGGTCAATCGTGAAGGACATTAGGTCAAGGGGTCAGAAAGCCTAGCATGCTCGGAAATATCTTGTCACAGGTAATGCATATGTCAAACAAAATGAAAGCCCTATCTTTCTCAATCAAAAGTTATAAGGAAAAATTAATTTTGAAAATTCTTCATGGTCAAGGTTACAAGAAAAAAAAACATAGTGCATTTAGAAAGGTCTTGTCACAATGCATAGGTACAGTTTTGAAAATTCTTCAAGGTCAAGGTTACAAGATAAAAAACATAGTGCATTTAGAAAGGTCTTGTCACAATGCATAGGTTTGATATGAAAGACCCATCTCCTCTCATTTAAAAGTTATGGCCAATTCAAAGCAATTTCTAAATTATTTAAAAGTATGTCAATTTTTCAAGATCAAGCTCACAAGTTCACAAATCATTTAAGTAAGTAAGGCAAAGTTGATCTGTTCTTTCTGAAAAGTTGAAAGTAAAAAGCAAGAAAGCTCTCAATTCAAGTCAAAGGTGATGATCAAGGACAGGGTTAAAGTTTCTCAAAATTAAGTCAAACTCAAAGGTCAGGGTTAACAGGCGAAAAAAGTGTTTGTTTCAAGAGCGAGTTCTTTTCACACGAGATACACAATTGAAATATGAATGCCATAGGTCAAAATCCAAGATCAAGATCGAAAGGTCAAAATACACACCTTTTTGTAAAGTGAGCAGAAAAGAGACGACCTCTAAACAAAAGGTAAAATGTATCACAAATAATTGCATCCCAACCATTAAGACACCAAAAGTTGTAGACCACAAATCTTGAATTTGATTTCTTATTTAACGCGTCCTTTTAAGTTTGCCTCGTACCTTGGTACGGCAACGAGATGAAAATCATTCAGATGTTAAATTACCAACTAAACAAACATGATGTTTTTTTTCTTTAAAGTACATAATTATGTTTTAGATTTTATTTTTCTTCTTGAAAATATAAGTATAGTGCGGTATTTTTCATTCTTTTAACTGTCAGAAAACATTCTATTAGCTAGGTATACAAATATGCAGAGATCCCATGTTTAATTTATTCCTGCGAAAGTACTACAATTATTTCAGAGGAATATTTTACTGATGAGAGAGCTATGGATAAAAAAGGATAGAGTAATTAAACTGCCTCTGTCTGAAAAGTAATAATTTGCCGCTGTCAGGCGCTGTGATGCATATTCTGTTTTTAAGCGGTGTGTTTGTAACTAAGGCACTGTTTCAAAATTTTCTCAAAAGTCGCGGTGTTGAATTTACTACTTCTTACAAAATATTGTTTGAAAATGTTATTGAAGGTTTACTACGAAAAGATCTAAATCAGAATTATTTAAAATTGTAGTCTCTTTTTCAGACTTGTATTTAATTTTTGCCCTTTAATCTATTTACAGAGATCCTAATAAGTGTAAGCTGGTCAGCTTGATTCAGCCTGATATCAAGGGAATGCTTCCTAAGAACGTCGTAGAAGCTGCCATCCCAGGCTCCATGACCGAATTCTTCACAAAGCTTGAAGAGCAACTAAAGAAAGACGGAAAGATCACAAGCTGAGGACTTATACCACTGAACATAGTGCTTGTTGTTTATCTTTATTTATGTGATTTGTTGTCCAACACTGTATTGTTGTGAAACCCACAGATTTTATTTATCTAGAAAAGAACAAACGTTAGGTCTTTGTGATGTTAGCGTGGTAATACTGGTAAAAACGGGGGGAAAACATAACAGAGTTGGTTATCTGTGTGCCTTCCAACTAAAATTTCCAAAAGCGAAATCCAAATAGAGATTATTTTTTTTTAATTTTTCAATTCACCAGTTTTTAAAAAGAGTTTTAAATTATTTTAAATTGCAATATAAACTATACTGTCAAAATAACTTGCCAAAAATACACAACTCTCAAAATATATTAATATACGTATAATACCAGGTAGTGTGTAGTTAGTTTGGCTATTGCTAATTTTTTTTTTTATCAAAATGCTGTTTAGGCCTAGAAAACAATTGTACAAGATACACACCATTATGATGTAGGAGCTGAAAGGTCCAAGTTCTATTTTTTTAAATTGTATTTTAAATAACACTGAAAGTAATGAGAAATTGTCAGTATTGTTTATTATACACATTTTATTTCTTGTACAAAATATATGAGGGAAATTAAAATTGTCAAACTGTTTATTCTGAAGTTTATTATAATGGTATGAAAGATTCTGGACATCCTGTATTGGTGCATTTCCATATATTTCCAAGATGATACTTTAAGGTTATCATTTTTTCATTCTTTAGGAGCCAATTGAAGATTGTATAAACGCATTCCTTCTTGGATAATTCGTATGCACATTTAGGGATCGAGTGGTCCTATGTTCAAGTGTACAGACAGGATTCTTTTCAGGGAATTCGTACAATTCACGAATCCGGAGTTCTCAGTTAATGTAAGGCGTCTTTTGACGGTTTAGGGGGAAGATATAATGAAAGTTACAGGGGGAAAAACCGCTCACCTCATGATATAAGCACGTACATTTTGAAACGTTTATCATATAATAAAAGGATTTTTAGATTGATCAATGTTCTTTATCTTCACTATTTTCAATGCAGAAGTATTTTTTAACCTCTTTAATACTTGCAAATCACTCATACCCAGAAATTTTGAAGTATAATGGGAGGTCTACGGTGGTAAAGGTAAATGAACCATCATTGAATTCATTATAGTTATTGTCCCCCGCTTTCGCGAAAGCGAGGGGACATTAAATCTAATTCGTCTGTCTGTCAGTCTGTCCGTCCGTCACAAAAACTTTAACCTTGCCCATAACTTTTGATTTAGTGGAGCTATAATTTTCATATTTCATATGTGTATTCCTTGTGATAAGACCTTTCTTTGGGTACCACCAAATTTGACCTTTTGACCTTGACCTTGGAGTTTCAACTACTTTTACTAAAAAATTCCAAACTTTTACTTTGGCCATAACTTTTGAATGGTAGGTACTAGGACTTTCATATTTCACATATTTATTCTTTGTGACAAGACCTTTCAATGAATACCAACAACTTTGACCTTTTGACCTTGACCTTGGAAATTGACGTACTTATAAAAAAAATATATCCTTGACCATAATTTTTGAACGGTAAGGGCTACGGCTTTTATACTTCATATATTTTATTCTTGTAAGAAGACCTTTCATTGGATACCAAGAACTTTGACCTTTTGACCTTGACCTTGGAGTTTTAACTACTTTTTAAAAATTATAACCTTGGTCACAACTTTTGAACGGTAGATACAAGGACTTTTATATTTCACACATGTATTCTTTGAGGCAACACCTTTCATAGGATACCAACAACTTTGACCTTTGGACCTTGACCTTGGAGATTTACGTACTTCTGAAAAAACTTTAACCTTGACCATAACTGTATGTAATCCTTGTGAGAAGACCTTTCATTGCATGCCAAGAACTTTGACCCTTTGACCTTGACCTTGGAGTTTTAACTACTTTTTAAAAACGTTAACCTTGGTCACAACTTTTGAACGGTAGAAACTAGGACTTTCATATTTTAAATATATGTATTCTTTATGGCAAGACCTTTCATGAGATACCAAAAACTTTGACCTATTGACCTTGACCCTAAAAATGATATCTTGCCCACAAAGATACCGAAAGCGGGGGACCACAATTCTTTTTCACTTCTTGTTGTGTACTGAAAGTATGAGTAGACACGGTAAAATATTAATCGTTAAATAAAGATATAGTCTAAATTGACAGGATATTCCTAAATCTCCTGCAGTCGGACTTCATATGGGCATGGCATGTAGGTAACACCCGGGCTGATCCCTTCCATATCGAGAAGGACTCCAGGCTTGGCCTCCTCAAATCGGAATCTCTGAATCAGTATGGAGAAAAACAAAAACAGCTCTGTCTCCGCTAGCTGTTTTCCCAGACACACTCGTTTTCCTAAAGAATTCAACGTTTAAAAAAAAAACTGTTATACATTTTCTGTTTGCATGGAGGCATATTATCTTTGAAAAATTGCATTCGGATCATAAATATATTAAAGAAAAGTCTTCTTTAACATGTATTAAATCCATTGAGTAAATATATCCCAATGCTTACAAAATACTTCCAATTTTTACAGCAAATTGCAACTTTAAATTGCAAGTGCACACTTCTTAATAATGAAATATGCGTATTTTAACAAAATGTACCTAAACCAAATGGGAAAAAGGCTTCGTGACGAATAATAGAGTTGTTTTCATCAAGAAACCTTTCTGGTCGGAATTCCTCAGGTTTTTCCCAGTATTCATTATCATAATGTGCGGACACGATGACTTCTACCATAGTTGATCGTTTGGGTATCGTTAGATTATCAATTTGTATGTCTTCCAAAGCAGTCTTTGGAACAGCCATTGGAGCTGAAAGAATAGAATTAATGGCAAACTCAACTCGAAAAATCACGATGTTGTACCGATTATGGACATACACACACTCCTATATTTTTCTTAAGGTAATGGAAAATATGCAGCATAAAAAAAATCAAAGATAATCAGGTGGTAAGTTCTTTTATACATAGTTATAAAAATGTTTTACCTATCGTCTTTAGCCGCTGAATTTCGTTCACAGTTGCCACTATGTACGGAAGCTGATCCCTGTCTTTTAAAGTGATATGTCGGTTCCCAACAACCTGTCGATTGTAGTCAAATAACTTAAATATGAGTGTTAAAACTGGTCATACATCTTTCATCTCGAATGGTTCTCGAATATAATTTCAATTATATTGAATCGACAACATAGATTCAATATAATTAGTTTTTCAACAGTCAACAATACATTTTTCACACGTGCAACGATCGGTAAATGTTAACACAGTTTGGAAACAAAAGTTTACATACTCAGTATTCCATGTATTGTTTTTCTTGAAAAATATTGGGGGGGGGGGCAAATAAGCCAAATAATTTAATCCGACCAAGGTGCATTACTTCAAACCAATTAACACTGCATGCGAATTTGCTATTAAATCCTCTTCATTTTTGCGTACCTTTTTAAAAATGTTTTCTCTTTCAGGATACATGCTTTTAAAAAAAAAAGAGAAGAATTTTGTACTTCAAAACTCGGCAATTTTTTGGATATTTTATCATGAAGAGAAAAATCCACAGGAGTGTTGTATTGGTTGTCTCCGACCCGGCTACGTACAGATCAAATATGGTCTGGAACAGATCAATATCTACAAAAAAAAATCATATTTTCTTATTAAATGAATACAAAATGTCCAAGCTAGAATACGATATCCTTTAGATTAAGAATAACAACCATTTCAGAGTACTGGGATATATTGTGATACCTGATATAACATCACTGGAATCATTCGTCTCCTGATTTATGTACAAATCAATGAAGTCTCGTATGTTTCCACGATCAAAAGAAATTTTGTGAAGATCTATCTGCTTTCTGACATAGCCATTGAACTCCTCTTTCATCTGCAATAATTTTCGTACCTAAAAGACAATAAAACACAGTTTAAAAACATATCTTTAAAATTTATCAGTTTCAAACTCCTTTCAGATGACGGATTATTAAAGTTCTGTACATGTCAGAAATTTCAAATCTTTGAAACGACAGTTTTGATAAGATCATAATTATTTTTAAAAAGATGGCTTTTTTTATATCTGAAAGTTTTCTAAAAAAAATGTTAAAATTCTCTCATATTTGGTCCATGGAATTTGAAATTATTAGACATAAAATCATTCTTCAGAAAATAAAATCATTACACTATTTGGGAAATGAATATGCCTTTTTTTTTTTTTATAGATTATGTACTTCAGAATGATCAACGGAGTTGTTACCTTTGAATTCGGCAAAACTTTTTCTAGAAATGGAAAGTAATTTTCCACCAGTTTGTAGTTTGTGTTGTTTACGATATAATTCGTCTTGTAGAGTAAGCTTTCAAACTCCTCATCATTGTAGTCAAATCTATATCATTAGACGATTGATTCATGTATATCATTCTTTTAACATCGTATTTTTATATCAATAAAAAAAAAGCAAATTCAAAAAATTGTGTTCCCCTGCCTTCGGTGTCTTTGTGGGTGAGATGTCATTTTTTATGGCATATTGTGTAAAATAATTATATGAACGCCATTCCATACGTCATTCAGAAGTGGATTTTTTTTTTTTTAAATTAGGTCAATTGTGAAGATCAAAGTCAAGGAGTCAGAAATCATATGGCATGCTTGGAAATATCTGTATATATAGACAGGTAAAGCACATATCAAATATGAAATCTCTATCTCTTCTCAATCAAAAGTTATAAGGAGAAATTATAATTTTTGAAAAGGTGAAACGTCAAGGTCAAGGTTACTAGATAAAAAATCATAGTGTATTTTAAAAGGTCTTGTCACAAGCAATATACAGTTTTAATATGAAAGCCAAATGTCTTCTTATTCAAAAGTCATTACCTAGATTGATATTTTTGAAAAGTAGATCAAACTTTCAAGGTCAAGGTCACGAGGTCAAAAATCATAGTGTATTTAGAAAGGTCTTGTCACAGATAATATACAAGTTTAATATGAAAGCCCTATATCTTCTCATTTTTTAAAAGTGATAGCTAATTAAAAGTAATAATTAAAAGTTTTAAAAGTAGGTCAAACTTCAAGGTCAAGGCCACGGGGTCAAAAATCAAAGTGTATTTAGAAAGGTCTTGGTCACAGGTAATATACATTTGTAATATGGAAGTCCTATCTCTTCTCATTCAAAAGATATGACCAAGATTAAAGCTTTTGTGACGGACGGATAAAACTACAGACGGAGAGACGAATGAGATTTAATGTCCCCTCGCTTTCGCGAAAGCGGGAGACAAAAAGACTCGCTCTACATAATGTTGCAAAGTCAGATCTACAAAGAATTATTTATCATTATTTCGTATTTTGTTTTACGTTATTAGTTAAAAGTAAGCATTCGCGAGTTTTTTGAAACATACCTTGACCCAAACACTATACTCGATATTACGTTCGAGACAGCTTTTGGGAGGAAGTTATTTAAAGAAACTGGGGCTCCTTTAATTTCTGCCAAGGTATCTGACAATATCTGTGTCTCTTCCAGAATCTTATCTTCAAGAGAAGTCTTTCCTAACCCAAAATCCCGTAACGCCGTGAGAGAGAATCTCCTAATGCTACGTTTACACTATGTTCCCGGCAGCCACGGCAGCCCCGTTTGCCCGAAACGTAGTGCGCCGTAATTTACCCCTCTATATCCAAGTCTTGACAAGTTCTTTTGCGGTCTTCTACGGTTTTCTAGGAATCCGTGATGGGCCGTAGGAAGAAGTTGCCGTGATGCCGGATTCCACGGCGCACTACGGTTCTGCCACGTATGCCAGCACGTTCCCCCCAGGCCTCTTACGTTCTGATAGGTCCCCTCTCGTTTCTCGCGTTCTTATGAAGTTCTTATACGTTTCTAACGTTCTGTCAAGTCTTTCTACGTATGAAACATGGACGCCGGGAAACTATGGATCACGTTTGTACCAGAGAAGGTCTCCTAACCAGAAACAATCATTGTACCATGACCCTTCGAAATAAAACATCATGAATTCCCAAGACGAAGATTTTATTTTCGCGTGTTTGCTGGGTGCATACCGAAAATCACTTCGTCAAAATGAAGAGAACCAGCAGCAGTTACAGAGAGGGAAGGCAGGAGTGCAGCAACTAGGAATGAGACGAATAAGACGAATGAAACTTCTCTGCAGTGCCCGGCTTTTATATGCTTCCTCTCAGACCGCGTGCGCCGTGTCAGACCGTAGTAGAACGCAACGCACCGGGACCATGAACCGTAACATGCCGGGACGAACCGCGATTGAACGCGAGGAAACGGCTACCATACACCCTAGTTTGCCGTGAGGGCCTTGATGAAACGTGGCAGAACGTGATAATACGGACAACAACCGTGAACTAGCCGTGACAGAACGCGGACTAAACTCAGCAAAACGTCTCAAAACGTGAATGGACCGTGAGATGAATGGAAATATACATTCTCCCGTCCCACTGCGGACTGCCTCCAAGTTCTGTTACGGTCTATTACGTGCTGTCGCGTTTTGTTGTTTTTACTACGACCTACTAAGTTTCACATCTGCAACGTGGCCGCCGTGGCAAATTTTTTGACAGTTTAAAAATCTGGCACGGCATCCACGGCAATCGCGATGAGTTACGTTTGCCCATCCCGTTGCCCCCCGTTTTCTCACGCCCGTCCCGTTTTTTCCACGGTGGCCTGAAACGTGATTGCCGTGGCTGCCGGGAACATAGTGTAAACGTAGCATAATGTGATGATTCAGTTCGCCATTGCTCCATATAATACCTAATATACAGATGGAGTGAAAGTCTTAGCGTGTCAGTGTACTTTAGATCTATTACTGCATGGTCATTACATCATGAGATGTATTTTTCAGTTTCGAAAGTTTGTAAGGTTATGATATATTATTTTTCACTCTCTAGCTATTGCGTTTCATGAAACAAGCATATGCCTTGGTGAAAATCGCTTTTTCAGAGGTAGTATCAGAAGCCTAAGAAGACTAAGCATTTTGTGTCACTGTAACACGCCGTGAGTCCTATATATTGATCAGATAGACGTGATATTGATAATAATTCCGTAGATAAATTTCGTATAAAAACAAAACTCTACGAATTAGGATGAAACACGTCATCCAAAATACGACTCATTGTTAGATTATATATATATTTACTTACAATATCATTACTTATTATAACTATCAAAGAATCTACGAAATGCTAAATTTAAACCAAATCATTAAAGTCCCTGTAATATCAACTTATCTATCAGCACCCTGACGCGGTTAAATGTCCAAATGTCAAAGAGATGTGTTCGAATACGTGGTATCTTATTTTGAATTCACCGATTGTATCGAGTCTAGATCTGAATGGAAATGACTTTTGTTAATTGATCAGTAAAGCGTCGTTGGTAGACCTAAATGTGGAGTTAAAGATCACATTGAGTGTTGTCTTTATTTTTCTCAGGTAGAAGTTTTTGAGTAAATTCTGCCTCGAACAAATATAAAAGCAGATCGGCGCGGTTTATAAATGAGTGTCATGCTCGGATCTTGGGGGGGGGGGAGTCGGGGATCCTCCTGGAATTTGCAGAGTAACTAAACTTATATACTTAAGCAAGTAAAAAGTGACCTTGGACCCCCCCTAGAAAACGCAAACCCCCTTCTCAAGAACTTGGATACGCTTAAGTTGGTATGAAAAGTCATAGGTAAGAAGATTTGAAAGTCAACGAATACCCCCACCCACCCCCACCCCCACGAAATAGGATTTTCACGTTTGAGCGAGATAACTTTTTTTTGTCAACAAATTTCTGGGTTGGATTTTTTTCACTGGGGTCATTGAAAAAAATTAATTATATAATGTCCAACACTTTTTGGTGGAAAACCTTGTCACAGAAGACAACATAGATGAAGTCAATGAGAAACTCCATTTACCAATCAATATCAAATTCAGAGTACTCGTTTTTAGGACAGGCCCCATAATCTTCAGAACAGACTCAAGTCCATGAAGTCAGAATTTCCATTCAATATAACTTTAAAAATAATCTTGATAACAAAACATAATTTTTACCATGTTTAAATTGGATACTATACAAACCTACACATTTTGGTAAGGTGTGAATTATAAATGACAAGCTATTCAAAATCAAAATTTTGACTTTATTCTGTTCTCAGTTTATGGTCTTGAGGCCAGGCTGTCAGAAATTTTGTTTATATATGAAATTTCCTTGCTCCGTTGGTTTTTGTATTGTTGTTGTTGTTGCCTGTGTCACAGTACTTTTTTACATATCAATAAGGTACATATACATATTTATAAACCAAGACCTATGTTATCAAAAGCCTGATTTTTTTTTAAAGATAGCGTTGTGCAAAGTTTTTTTTTTTTTTTAAAGTCATTTTGTAACTGACTTTTAATTAAAAAGCATTTTATGAAACAATTCCGCTTGGGTGAAAAGCGTTCAATGAATCTGACTTGCAGGACTGAAAGACTAACATGCTTGAGTGAAAAGCGATTCCTGAAATACCTTTGTATGCTTACAAGAGGGTGAAAATACGTACTTCGTCATTTAACCTTATGAACGTTCATTCACACAAATTTTATCATTTCAGGATCTAGCTTATGTAAACTAATATTCAAATTGTCCAGATGAAAATCGTGATTTTCTTTTTCATCAATTTATTTCAACGTTTATTTAAATTTGATATAATGGTCTGACTTTGATGCAATTATTTTTAATTTTTGCATCATTTCATGATCAAATATAGACTAAATATATATATACAATTTATTTTGGGTATATATTCAAATGTTTATATTTGTACGTTGAGTACTTTACTAGAACAGGGTAATATCTTAAAAACTAATAGAAATTAAAGGTCTTTTAATAAGTCATTTACCTGTTCTGTCAGTCATTCGAGATGCTAGGTACATCCAGTTTGGTCTAAATTTAGTTAGCTCCGTTTTCTGTTGAAAAGCTTCAATTAAGTTTTTGTGTCCACAGACGTATACCAAATTCATCGGTCCCAGGTTTAATCCCACAATATTCCCATACTTCTTGGACAAATAAAGCGCTGGTTCAAAGCTTCTTTTATACCCCACCAAGTTAGGCAGGTTCCCCACAAGGGGCCACGCCCACGGCCCCGGGAGTGCCCTTCTTAGATTCGTCACGATGTTGTTGGTGATGATGAATATGACGATGAAGATAAGAATCGTCTTAAAATCAGTCTGAGATACAAGTGTAGGTACTTCCATTTTAACAATCAAATTTTGTTTTTTAAGTTGTTTACAGACTGAAAAATATGGTGTCCCATTTGTGCTTGTTTAAATATAATAGAATATATAATGGTAATCTGCATGACCCCTTTTTAATTACAGATTTAAGTCTGAAAACTTACAAAAACAAAATACATCACCATTCTAAGACAAAATGATGGTCATTCCAAGGCTGTTATAATTAAAATATAATGAACTCTTACAAATATTAAAAACAAATAACATATCTCGAAGTTCTACCGAGAGAAAAATAACTTTATTTTAATATCTATATACCTAAAGCTGGTCAAAACCTTCATAAGCATCTATCATTAAGTAGAATCAACTTGCAATTGCTTTATATTTGGAAGATACCAGTGAATTGTAGGATTTTTTTTCTCCAAAGGAATTTGCAGGATTATGGAAATTCATATTCATTTTTACAGCTAAATCGTGGAAAAAAGTCAAACTTTTACTTTGGACAACAAAAAAGCTATACCACAGGGAAATCTGAATCTACGATAGATTCAGTTAACACATTGTATTCTTTTTTAAATGTCAGTTTTGATTTGCCTAAAGGTTAATCTATCATCCTTCTCCAAATCAATAGTAGATTTTTCAGTTCAGCTAGTCTTTCCTAAATCGGTTCTTTTTGCTCTGAAAATGAATATGTGAATCTAATAACTAATCTACAAAATACCTATATGCTTTTGTTCGACGGTATAAAACATTTTCATCTGTACTAAATGGAAAATAAAAGTATTGGCTATGATCTCTACACTAAAAACAGTACAAATGTTGTTTTTTTTCTTGACTCTTTTGCAAAAAGTTGTGTCATCTTAGAAATTAATAAAAGAAAAATCATGTGAAATTGCTCTCTGCCTAAATTCGGATAGTAAATTGATAAACTACAAGAACTTTGCCCCTTGGCATAATTTGCCTTGGGGACCTTGTCGCGGGTTCGAATCCTAAAGCGGGACGTGGAGAGGTGTTGGCATGGTAAAAAATCTCTACCTGCTCGAAGGCTAAGTCCCCAGCACACGTCTCCTCTTTGCAGCGCTTCAACGGCAAGTAAAAACATCTCATTCACAAAGGGGCGTTCAACAAACATAAACATGTGATCAACTCTGCTATTTGTGAGTATATTTGTTCAACACAAGTAAAGGAATATTTGATATTATTAGCATCCTCTTTGCTACTACTCATGTGGGCATGAGATTCACAAATGTAGGAAACAGCTAACTCTGTTGGTCTCTGCAGACTGGAAATCTGCCATTTTTTAAAGACTGTATTAAATCTTGGTTACAGTCCCGTTTTTCTGGCCCGAGAGGTGTATCTTGAAGTTTCTGCTCTCCTTTATCCATTACAAGTAACAGCTTTTTAAAAAGCTTGCCTGACTAAATCAGTCAATTTATCTGCATGAAGAGTGATAAACCTTTTAAGCAATAATACTTTTGTGGGTTTAAAACGTATCCTAACTTTATATTTTGAGAACCTTGTGGAATTGAAATCTTGATTTTATTTATCTTGTAGAAGAATCATCTCTACACTGCATACTAAAGAGTTGTTACTTGCATGATAGGGATCTAAATTGATTTCAAGCTACATTGACTTTGTAACACAATGAAATCTTTTATCAAATAAAAAATACATTCAGGACACACAATTATTTTTTTTTTAAGATACCAGAAAAAAAATTATCGGGAAAACACAATTCTTTGAATTTTTTAAATATATATTATGTCGTTTTCAGAATATCTGTTTTCACAAGTATCTCGTTTTCACAAGATAATAAGTCGTTTTCAATTATCAGGTTTTCATGTATCTCGTTTTCAAAACGTTTTCACAAGAAATTTCAAAATTTCACAAGCTACCATTTTCACAAGATAATATCTCGTTTTACAAAATGATCTCGTTTTCATAATAAGTCGTTTTCACAAGATAATATGTCGTTTTCACAAAATATTAAAATCAAAATATAAGTCGTTTTCAAACTTTCTCACAAATATTAAAAACAAATATCACAAGATAATTTCTCGTTTTCACAAGATATTATCTCGTTTTCAAAGAAAAATAACTATTTTTAAATTCCTATATATGTCGTTTTCACAAGATATTTTTTTTCTGGTATTAAAAAAAAAATAATTGCGTGTCCTAAATATACCACCGTATAAACATTTTAAAAGATGGATATAATTAAATACACATTTTGTTGGAGTGTATTTTCAACAGTGCAATGTGTTCTTTTTAAAAAAAAGGGGGGGTTGGTTATGTGGAAAATAAATTCAATATTTAGGCCAGTAAATTATAAGATTTTTCACTGCCTTCCATCTGAAAGGACATACAATAGATCATGCATTAGATGGAAATTGCCTTACAACTATGCATTTATTACTTCAATTTATCATTACATGATGTGAACATATCTTTACGTTATGTCCATTTTTTACAAAAAATATATCGTTAACATCATGTCAATGCTGCATTGCATGGGTAAATACATCCTTTCATTATGTCAGCAGTTCATAACTTGAAGTAAAAAATTCATTATGTGAAGTGATTAATGTTACACATTGTAAATTTTTTTTATAAATGTCTTTAATTGTGAGGTCAAAATTGCATTACGTCAAAAATTGTGTTTTAATTAAACTTATCATTACATCCAAATCAAAAGCCCATTCCTTTTTGAGAGTTATATTTCTATTATATCAAAGCATCTTTTATATAATCGTGTTGCATTTTGTTACTATGAAATTGAATACATGGTATGTGGATCTATATAATTATATCTACAAAATATCTATATGCTTTTGTTCGACGGTATAAAACATTTTCATCAGTACTGCAATGTGAAAATAAAAGTATTGGTTATTCTGGTGAGTATAGTTATTATTAGATGATCTTGTAATTATTTACAGTACAAATGTTTTTTTATCGGTGCTTAAACAGCGCACTCTTAATTCAAAATATTTGTAAAATTGTTTGCATGCTTAGAAATTATTATATATTTTCTCTAAAAAGTCATTTTCTCCCTCTCTCTCTCTCTTCTCTCTTGATAATTTTCTTTTACATCTTCAATCAAGCGTCATATAAAAAAGCTTTTATTATAAAATCAGCCTAAATCTGTATGTAATTAGTAAAGTTTGATAAATTAATCTAAAGTTCCTTAGAATAATATAACTGTTTTCAAATAATATTTGTCCTCCTTCTTGTGTCAATTGTATAAATTAAGTTTATATATTTAATAAAATGACACCAATCAGTGATCGTCTCTATGGCGTAATCGATAAGGCAGGCACTGACAATCTCATCGCGGGTTCGAATCCTATAGCGGGACGTGGATATTGAAAATAAAGCCGTCGGATGAGACGGTATATAAATCTGATAACCCGAGGAGAATGTCGCGGTAGGTGTATAATGCAAACTGACAGGAAGCATAATATCTGATCCCTTTATTTTACGGCGAGGGCATCAAGTCCCCAGGTGAGCACATCTCCTTTATGTCAGCGCTTTATTACGGCAAGTAATGACATTTCATTCATAATATCAACACTTTATTACCCTGCTATTTGTGATGTGGATATATAATGTATATTTATTCAACACAAATAATATTGTGTTAATATTTGATATTATTAGCATCCTCTTTGTTAAAATACATTTACATGTGTTTTAATGACATGAGATTCACAAATGTTAGGAAACAGCTAACTCTGTTGATCTCTGCAGCTTTACTGGAAAATGTAATGTTCATTTTTTTAAGACTGTATAATATATTGAAAAAATAGGTTACAGTTGGACCCTCTCCCCGAGAGGTTATCTTGAAGTTTCTGCTTTTTTCGGGTAAATTCTTTTATTTCATTATAACTTTCAAAAAATGATGCTATTGATGAAACTTTAAATGTAGAGATAACAAAAAAAGCAATCCAAAATTTTTTTTTACATCTTTAATAACTCATTTCAAGTTTTCAAGTTTTCATGGAAGACAAATGGTTGGAGAACAAAACAAGAACACTGACAAAGTCACAGAAAAAAAAATGATTGCTGCACAATAATATTTGATTTACTTATTATCTTATTAACCTTTTCGACCTTTAATTCAATTCTTTACTTTGCACAAATATATTTTAATTTTTAAAGATGTCATAAATCGCTGAAAGCTGCCATTTTTAGTTGAAATACGTTATGCTCATATAAAGGCCGAGGATTGTATAACGTAATATGATCGACATAATGTAGATATTTTCTGCAAAAAGTATAAGAAATATGAAATTTTATATGTGAAAAATTAACAAAAGTTATTAATATTTAAAGGAAAGTTAACACGATGCAATAGTAGTGTGGGTTAATGTCATAAAGAGTTGACATAATGTAATGGAAGGTTGAAACAATGCAATAGTAGTGTGGATTAATGTCATAAAGAGTTGACATCATGTAATGGAAGATTGACATAATGCAATAGTAGTGTGGGTTAAAGTCATAAAGAGTTGACATAATATAATGGAAGGTTGACACAATGCAATAGTAGTGTGGGTTAATGTCATAAAGAGTTGTCATAATGTAATGGAAGGTTGACACAATGCAATAGTAGTGTTCTGCTATAAGGCAGTGACCTTCCATAATTTAATTTTTTGTAATTAATAATTAAACAACTGGGGATGTAAAATTGTGTTGTTTTTATGTTGCATGTCCATATATTTACCGATATGTTGTTTTAAAGAATGATATAAAACTTGTAGATAGAATTCTGAGGCATTAGAATGAGGTTTTCATGAAGTTAGCACACCCATTCATACAACAGAACAATCCAAGGAAAAGGCGCGAAGATGCTTGTAGTGACATTTGGCGCGAAGAGCGATTCACCCCTTTCGTAGAATATTGTTTAGTATAGTTGCAGAAAAAAGGATACACGGACATGTTGAAACGGCGAATCACATGGAATAATCTGTTCCAGGGAAATTTCAAAAAGAGTAAAGGAAGTAAACACTGCAGTATTTTGCACAGTAATTTATCATTCTTTTTTCTGAAAACTGTTTCTTTTAAAATGCTGGTAAAGAATTCCAATGTAAAACAGCTTGCACAAAATCTAGCTCTCTAGATATGATCGCACACTTTCGGATCTTGGAAATATCAATCCTTATACAGCTTGACGCCGTGACGTCAGGCAATAACATAGAACAAAGTCCATTGATGAAACCATTAATGCGGAGATAACAAAGAAAAGCAATACAAAAAATATTTTTACACCTTTTAATAACTCATTTCAAGTTTTCATGGAAGACAAAATAAAGAACAAAACAAGAACACTGACAAAGTCACAGAGACTCTTACAAAGGGATAATCTTATTAAACTTGACCTTTTGAATTTTTCACCACAAATATCTTTTAATTGTTAAGTGAATAAGAAAGCTGCCTGTTGAAATTAGCGTAATGTTTTGTATCAGATATGAGAGATATCTTCTGCAATTTAAGAAATATGAAATTTTATACTGAAAAATTAACAAAATTAATATATAGTATTAACAAAATGTAAAAGTTATTGCAGTACTAAATGAGGAATGGTGGAGGGAATTATTTTGGATTTTGACCTTGACTTTTGATCAAATGACCTCAAAATTTACATTATCCTACAGCTACATGTATATAATAATTAAAAGTGTGTAGCTAGAGTATAAGGAACTGGAGTGATTGTATCACATTAAGTGTTGGAAGATGACGACAGATAGACAGACAAGGTGATAATGGCATGCATCAATATCTCTTTGTAAGATTCCCATTAAACTCTGCATATATTTGGGGAAAAAAGTAATTCAAAATCTAAATACAATCAAACATATTTACATTAAGTATTAAAATAATCATTACACAAAACAAATTCTAACAAACATTGTATCAAAGCTTTCAATTTTTTGTAAAAACAGAATACTTGTAATATTACTTGTTTAATACATTTAAATTGAGCGTAATTCCATTTTCCAAACTATGGAGGAGGTATATCTGCATGCAGCAAGCTTAAATACGGTAACTATAATCCCCCAAACTTTAACCCCACCCCCTAAAGAGAAGCTATAATATCCAAAATGTCAGTTTTACAAACATGTACATGTATAATGATTTTACTTCATAAAGAAATATGTTCAATATTTTATTTATCTAATAGAAATGGCCTACTAACACTGAAAATTTTCAATTCATGTTTTTTCACTTTTAGAGGATTCAACACGGAACTGAAATCATCCTAATTTGGTTTAATATATAAATCTTCTTTGTAAATGGCAGTAGTAAATGTAAGCTTGTACAAGTATTATATCCAGCTCCTTCTAAACACATGATGAAGGCTGAACAAACAGTGCCCCTGGGACCCTAACAGAAAGTCTCTCCAGATCTGATGTGTACTGCCTGGTCTTCCTCCCAACCTGTGTCTCCAGCAACCTCAGCTGTGATTCCAGTGCTGCTATCTCAGAGGAGATCTCTACTGGAACACTAAGGCCCTCACCAAGAGCTGATGGTAACCTGTCTGTAGATTTGGGCAAGTTTGGCTTTTTCTTATCTTTCTTGTTAAAAACAAATGTAGGGTCTCTCATTAAGAAGAAATCAGAACTGCCCAGTGCTAAGTTGGATCTCTGTAGTGATATCTCCATGTTTAACATGTCTAACAGACCGTCCAGCTCTTCCTCTGTCACTTCACTTCTCTAAAAAGTACACAATATTACCATATTAAGAACTCTAGTAAAGTTTTTCTTTAATTTATCTATTATTTTCTTTATAGTAATCCCAACATTGAAGAATCTAAATGCAGATAACATGTTTAGATCCAAACTAGAACAATCATATAATATGCAAAACTTTGGGACATTTAAAAAATTGTATTTGAAAACTTTGTACTTTTCAAAGAATTTACACTACAAATAGAATTATTTTGAAATTGTCCAAAGTATGTGTTGAGCAAGCAAATCATTTATGATGTCAGTGTGAAAATATGACCTTAAAATTAATGAATTTATGGTCGTGTGACAAACCTGAATGTAGCTTGTTTGAAAAAAGTTAATGTATATAAGGGAAATATCTGCAATTTTTTATTTTAAATGCTGATTGATTTGTCCTGAACTTTATTAAGAAGTTGTAGAAGGTTAAATTTTTATCAATTAGATTTTATACCATTGATGTTTAAATCATATCAGGGTTTAAAACAATAGTAGGCAAATATTTGTCACAAATCAGTCCCAAATGTACATACAGGTTCTAAGGTATCTTTTTAAAACATTTATCAGGATGTAAAAACAGGTATTTGATCAAATCTCTTGATAAAGCTGCTGGTATTCTAAGGGATTTGATCACACGACTAACCTGTAACTAGAACTGTCCAAACAGGACAAAATACCCCCAGCTGGGTTTTTCAGAAGTAAGTTCTTCCATAATAAAGATATGTATCAAACACAAATTATGAAATTTTTATTCCAGTGACCTTGAACTTCCCCAAATGACCTTGGGTTAAGGTCATGACACACCCTTAGGTCATGGGCAATCTTTGGGTGAAATGAGAACCTACCAAGTTTATCCATAAGAAAGATATGGACCGGACACGAATTATGAAATTTTTCTACCAGTGACCTTGAACTTCCCCAAATGACCTTGGGTCAAGGTCATGACACACCCTTGGGTCATGGGCAATCTTTGTGTGAAATGAGAACCTACCAAGTTTATCCATAAGAAAGATATGGACCGGACACAAATTATGAAATTTTTCTACCAGTGACCTTGAACTTCTCCAAATGACCTTGGGTCAAGGTCATGACACATCCATGGGTCATGGGCAATCTTAGTGTGGAGTAGTAGATTCTAATGTCCCTCTGTAAGAAAGATATGGACCGGACACGATTGCACAGACAGACGGACAGACGGACAAGGTGATTCCTATATACCCCCGCAAACTTCGTTTACTGGGATGTAATTATACCCCCGCAAACTTCGTTTGCAGGGGGTGTAATTACATCCCAGTAAATGTTTCAAACTCATACCTTATTTCTGAAATATACTGCTCAACTTGCACAAAATGATGATTTAGAATGTGGTAGATGCTGTAATGGACATTACATTATCTTTCAGTACAGAATTTATCAGAAAATGGTCACTAACTTTGGTTTCCCACAATTCCTCAATCTGCTCAATTATTGTTTCATATCTGAGAATGGCTTCCTCCAACTTTCTTCTGGCTTCATTCATCCGAGACACTGGATCAGGAGCTATATTGTAGTACAGCATAGGAGCTTGCTCGTTCCTGGGTGTTTCTTTCACTTTCAGTTCTAATACGCTCTCCTAAAACAACATGCATGAATATAGAAAATAAACTGAGAACAGACTAGTCTTATTAAATTAAAATTCAAATCAGCAGAAGTTTTAAGATCGTTCTCATACTGAAACACAGTTTTCGACAAATGTATGAATCTGTCCATTACACAAACCTGCAAATTTGTGTGCATACATGTGAAATAGACATTCAAAGTCAAAATTCTGACCTAAGTCAGAGTCTGTTCTCAGTTTAAATTCTTCAGGGCAGATCAAACCATTTTGAATTTTGAAATCCCTATTAAGAATGATTTTTTTGGTGGGAACAGTAAAATTTAAAGTGATATAAAAATATATGTTTGGTTATGAAGGCAGAGCTTATATTTTTTAAATTGAAACAAACTAGTGCTAATTGTAACGGGGACCGTTACAGATGTTCCCCAAACGCTCCCCATCTCCCTTTTGGTGCCATATTCCCTGTAAGCTTCATTAAATAAGACAAACTTTATGCATTTGAGACTTTAACAACGTTTACCCAGAAGGGTACCAAGTTCATTCAAATATTAGCATTGCACGCGTGCGCATGTAAATGCATGTGCGTAATGACCATATCATCTTATCTACACAATCTATATACTTTAATATACTTAATATTAAAATATTTAATCCAAAAGTATTAAAAAAAATACGGTTATTCAAGTGTATTTTTGATTTTACTCATTTCACGTGCACGCACGTGCATACATGAGCATGGTGACATACCTACTTGTGGAAGTTCATTACATCTATCTATGTTCTAAATCCCACTCCGTTTGGTTGAAAACCAAGGGAGTTATAGCTGATTAAAGTTTCAGCCAATCAGATTGCAGCGTACGTTCACGTACGTGTATGGATGTGCATGGTGATCATACCTTCTTGTAGAAGTCCATTATATCTATCTATGTTCCAAATCTCATCCTGTTTGGTTGAAAACCAAGGGAGTTATAGCTATTTAAAGTTTCAGCCAATCAGATTGCAGCGCACGTACACGCACGCGTATGAATGTGCATGGTGACCATACCTTCTTGTAGAAGTCCATTATATCTATCTATGTTCCAAATTCCATCCTGTTTGGCTGAAAACCAAGGCAGTTATAGCCATTTAAAGTTTTCGCCAATCAGATTGCAGCGCACGTGCATGCGCGTGATTTCATGAAAATTATTTTATATCATATCGTAGGTTATCTTAATGCATGACTATGTTTTAAATTTCAAAGTATTTCGTCAAAAAAACGAATAAGATATTGAGATTTTTGTTTCAGCCAATCAGAGCGAAGCGCACGTGCATGCGCGTGCGTTCATGATAATTTGACCATGTCCTCTTGTCTATAATACTAATATATTCTTATATTCTGAGTTTCAACACATTTCATAAAAAAATAGAAAAGTTACGGCTATATCAATTATATTGGTCATTTTACATGTTGCACGTGCGCGCTCTTGCAAGCACGTGCGCGCAAAATGACCTTGATTCCGCAAATCTACATAACATGTCTACTTACCCTAAAAAGGTTTTACCTACACCAGATGAACAGTTTACAAGATCATTCGCGGACAAATAAGTACCCAGGAAGAAGAAAAATAATAATAAGAAACCGAGTAAAAACAATATGTTCCCCAACTTCGTTTGGGGAACATAATTACTGTATGTCTACATGTAAAACCTACTAATATTTAAAAAAGCCTACAACTAAATATAGGAGAGGTCTAATGAAAAGATATTAAGACATATGTAGATAATGATAGTTATGCAGAACTGAGTTCACAAGGGCTTATTCTGATTTAAAGGTAATCCACAATTTATCATTGAATTAACATGGATTTAATTTCAATGGGTCAAGCCTTTTTAAATGCCCACCATCCACTTCCAGAAGATCTGTTCATGATCTTTCCACTCCTGCATGTGCTTCAGCCTGATGTTGTCTTTCTCCAGCAGTGTGGTGATCTTGTTCATCAGCTGAGGGTGCCTTAACAGGTGGACCTCTAATGAAGAGAGATGAGGCATATCTGGTGTCAGAAAGGAACCTTGCGTGCATTCATGGACCTAAAAAATATCATAACAAAAACTTATCCAACATTCATTTGAACATTTTATATTTAGTATCCTATCTAATAGGCAATCAGAAGATCTACTGTACACAGGGCTACTTTCACCCTTTCACACCTGCAGACAATTCTGATTCATTTCGAATTTGCCCAGTCACAGTTCTGTTTAAGAGATAATGCCATTTTCTTTTGAATTAGGCTTGTTCTAAATTTGCCCACTTGTAACCAGAGCAAAAGGGGCAAAATGGGAGCAATGATTTCACTGTGCACATGCAGTTCTAATCTATGAATAATTACCTACATGTACATTCTCAAAATAAATCAGAAGACTGTCAAACATGCCTTATATTAGTGAAGTTAATCACTTTCTGTAAAGCATGGTTAATTAAAATCACCCTACTAAGTTTCCTTATTTATTAACATGCTCTGTTGGCTTGCTGTAGTTACCTTATGCAATAAAACTGATTTATGCATTACTCATTGTAGACACCTACACTATGTATGTACATATTTCTTGCAATCTTTGTTTCAGGAAGGAGTAGACTATTCCCCATTTTCAAAAGTGAGTTATCTCCCCTCAAAATCGGAACTCTTCTACACTAGCCTAACTTCCGCGGACTACGTCATCAACTTACACGCTGTATTTAATAATTTTAAAAGAAGGAAACGGTTTGAATTTTTTTTTAGATAATAAATTATTTTATAAAAGGTCTGTTAGCCCCCCCTTTAAAGAAAGCTATACGAATTAACCAGGCACGTAGCATCGTCTTTAAAAGTGGGGAGGGGGGGGGGTAGCCAAAGAAATATTTTTTTCTTACCTGGAAAAGTTGACAAGCAAAGAAAAACCTTGCCCAAAGTTGAAAAAGCTACTTATTTCAGTACCAGTTCCTTGGCATACAATACTACATTTCCCTTATATAACTTACCGTAGTATTAACTGTGAGCCCCTTGACCCCCCCCCCCCTTCCGGTGCGTACAGGTACAGAGAATGAATATGTAAATGGGTTGAACAGTTGAATATGAACCATAGTTGTGAAAACTAAAAATTATTAGAATTATTAATTGTGGATTCAATAAAATTACGGTACATATATTTTTCACAGATGTACATGTATGTCAGTTACACGGGGTTACATGAGTCTCTCTCTCTCTCTCTCTCTCTCTCTCTCTCTCTCTGATATTGTTTTGTACACACTTTGCAAAAAAGAATAACTTATAAAAATAAATAAATGTACTTACACTGAAAGGATTTAAAAAAAATAAATAACACTTGAGAAAAGAATGTTTTCCGTTAATTAACGAGAAATACGCAAGGAAATTATTGTATTAATTTCGTGTTTCTGCTCTCAATTATCTGATCTAAAACAAAATGTGTATTTTACTCGGGAATATACATGTACATATGCTTAGATCCTACACTAAAACTCTGATTAAATGCAGCTCAGACTTTATACGACATATGTAACACGAATTCAGGTCAATACTATTTAATTAGTCTTTCTTCGTTACATGAGGACATGAGATTAAATTATTCATTTAGAATTCCATTCAAAGTTTTAATACTATATAGTAAATCAATTATTTTACAAATAAAAAAATCTAGAAACACTGTTAATTCAAATGAAATAGGCCTTTAATTGTCACCAAATGTGTTCTTGTAAGTAAAAGTTCTATGTTATGACATACAATCGAGCAAAAACAAAGTTTCTTGGTATCAGTCGCGGAAGACGAACTACTGCTGTATATGCAGCAATTTCAGAGGTAAAACTGTAGATGGACATGTCATCAGTCTCCAAAAAATTCCTAGAGATTCAAAGAAAATATGGCTGCAGCAGGCTAGATTAATTCGTAAAAACTTTATAACTAAAAATTTGTTCCGCACATTTTGTAAATAATGATGATCCGTCTGCAGAACATCCACTACCGAAAATTAGCTTATTAGCTTTTTTTAAATAGGCCTATTCGAATATGTATCAGCATTTTATCAGTAATTTGTTTCGTTTTTTTTTTTTTGTGTTGTTTTTTGTTTTTGTTTTTTTTTTTTGTAAGGGGGGGGGGGGATCACACAGCACCTTATTATAGTACTACACAGATTAATACAAATCCAAAAAGAGACTATGAGTGGGCAATTTAAAAAAAAATACGAATCAGTTAAGATTTCTTTTTATTCACAAACACAATAATATTTTCCATATGACAGAGGCATTACACCATGAACATGTTTACATCAAAAACGTCCGCGGAAGTGACTTTATTTATAGCGCATGCGTATTAAACACAGTAAAAGAGTTCCCTTCAGGGGAAATAACTCACCTTTTGAAAATGGGGAATACCAAACTATAATATTAAATCAACCACTTATTGTATATAAGTACAAGTGACTTTCATCAATTTTCTTTGAGGTCAGATAATTCAGGCTTCACTACATATAAAGTCAGCAGAGATTTAATTTAGAACCATTGATACAAATGAATATTCCCTACATACTTATTTTATCATTTCATAATCCATAAATATTAAAGCGTACTATAAGTGCCCTGTCTTATTCTAAACACTGGAAAAAGAATAAAAAAGAAGGTAGTGTCACCCTGTGTTGGAGCTTTGCCTTTTCTCTTTGTAATGCATACAGTCTCCGTAAGCTACTTCTTAACTTTCCATTTAAAAGTTGTAACTGTTGAACTTTCTGCACTGGTGTCAGGGAACCTGCTGCTACCAGACTTCTAGGTTCCTTTGATGTTTTGTTCTGCTGAAGCTGTTGAAAATGAAAGCAGCTATTTAAGAAAGATATAAATCATGTAAAATCTTTCTAAAGTAAACGTATCGCTTAACAAAAACAAATTAGTAAAAGTTTTAACCAAAAAAATTGGTCAAAATTGAGTCACAATGGTATTCAAAGAATGCATATGTGTCAATATTACACAAATTGAAAGGACTTTCTGACATTAGGTCAAGGAGATGTTGTTTGAAAACGGGCTCTATTACAGTAAAAACTCGGTTAGTACATTTGTACGAACACCGATATTGTGAATTCATGGATATAGCGAAGTCAAATTGGATCCCTACATATATAAATTCAATTAATTTCTTATATGGTTATAACAAATTACGGATAAAGTGAAGTAATTTCGCGTAATCTTTATTTCTGTTCAATTTTGGGTAGAAAATTACGCGGATATCTTAAGACTCTCCTTATATGCCTTATATTTGCATTAAGTTGGATGGGACAAATTTTTGTGGAAAATATGTGACCGTGTACATAGCGTAAATTTATACCACGCGTAAAAAAGTACTTCTACAGTATTTTAGAGAAATATGAAATAGTGATTTAAAGGAATTCTTTTAAAAGGATTTTCCCCCCTAATTAAGGTAACCGCTACTTTAAGTTTTGCTTGATTTTTTTCCTCTGGGTACAACTTTAATCATGCAAGCCTGTTACTAAAGTTCATATATCACCCTAGTAAACATGGTATTAAGTAACTCAATTTTTAAAGTACCTCATATAACAAAGAGGAATCTTCCAGAGGAGATGAGCAATTGTCCATGAATTTGTCAATGAGATTCTGTTTACAAACTAGCCAGGCAAAGGCCAGTAATAATTCCCTGCTCCCAGACCTGGCATCAGTTGGAAGATGGGAGAACTCTTTGGAGAGAAATCCCAGGTTCTGCAGTTCTTGTTTAACATAGACTATCAGCTCTTCTACAAAAAAAAGACGTTTCTTCTATTAAGTTAAGTTGGAAATATACTTGCTAAGGTTAAAGCAATAATAATTCATCATTTTTTCTTAAAATCATTTAATAATAGCGAGCGCAGCGAGTGTTGCAAAGCGACGCTCATAACTGAGAGCTCTAACGACAACGCTTGGGCGAAGAGAAAATTCAGACTATTCTGCACATTCATTTTCTGCAGTAACTTTGGACCAATGCAATGCATCGCTTCGTTAAGCAACATTCTCGTGAGAATAACAACAAAAGTAAAACAAATAATAATTTGCCTTGATTTAATGAATATATTGCCGACAGATAGTCAATACAATGGTTCTCATTAAATTCAGCCCTGTTCAGGCTTTGGTTTGGTAATGCAACATACATACGACATCATGTAACGTCAGAGTCAATACGCACCAAATGCTCATGTGGTTTGAGGAGTGTCTGACCTAAAGTAAAACTGAGTAAGTATCTGCACTCGCCCTAACAGTCCCACTGTCAACATATTAATTGAGAAATATAAGTTGTTAGGTCTCCTCACCTGTTGTTAGTTCTGAGAAAGCCTTTACAGTAACTTCATCAATAATACCGTATTTGCAATAATAAAGCATCTCAAACAGTAACTTCCACAAAGGCAATGTCTGCAAGAGAAGAGGGGAAACGTATCTCTTAATACAATTTGTGTTAAGTCACAATGTTTGAACTGAAAACAATAATTACATATCATTAATTACACACTTTCTTAAATCTATATATTTAGGTAAAACATTTTACAAAGATGTCCAAGAAAACATCTGCAACAATCACAGACGACACTATCATCGATTACCGCTTCATCTTTGTCGAACTTTGCTGAGCGAAATATTTCTGCCTTCAGCTTAGAGCATCCATTTTCATTCAAGATGAATGTAAGTAATTCAATTGTTTCACGAACTTGGGCCATCAGCTTCTTTATCAACGTTAATTGAATATTCTTCTGTCTGTAAGCCCCTCAATCTCAATCTGTGGCCATTTTCTACTTTCACTTTAATTTTGGATAAGTCGTTCCATTATTGAAATTTACAACTGATTTTAAACTTTTCGATATGTTTTCCAGCATTTAAAAAAAGGATTATATAATAAAACACGTAACTATTATTCTCTTAAATAATACCTTTTTTTGGCATTAGCTACAGAATTTAGGAATCAATATTAAAAAACCGAACCGAAAGTTCGCAGACCAAGGAAGGACAACTCCACCGGCGGAAAAGTGAAATGTCCAAGAAATACGCCTAATGGACGTGAAAAGTCTACTTAATTTGCCTGCTCTATATTTAGTTATTCAGGTAAAGTCTCTGTTCGAATAACAATAACTGAAATATATGTATCATGTTAAAAAAATCTTGATGAAATTATATATGGAGATAACGAACAGTATATTCAAGATACAGCACTCAACAGTCGGATTATTTAAAATCAAACCTTCACCAGCCCCTTTTTATTTTAATTGTTGATTTTAATCAGACTGATAAAAAAATTAATACAAAATAGGAGGAGAGCAAACACGGATCTCTACAACATAAGAGGTGGGATCAGGTGCCATGGAGGAGTGAGCATACCCTACTGAAAAGTCACACCTGCCGTGTGCTCCTTGTCATGATCTGGAAATAACGGAAAATAATGGACTAAATAACAATTAGTATGAAAAACGTCAATCAGCATTTGACTTAATGATAAATTGTATTTGGTGAAAATGTCATTATATCGACTATAGAACTTACGAAATGATGGCTTTAAACTAGACTGCTGATATTCTTATTTCATCAACTTGTTTGTCAATAATTTTCCTCGTTTTAGAAATTGTTCATACGTAGAGCATATTCTTGCGTATCGAAACAACTGAGATATATAAACTCCGTATGCAGGTGATGAAGGTATATTGCTCAGGGGTTCAAAATTTTTTTTGTCATGGTCAAGTCCAGGACTTGAGGAGTAAATTTTAGGCAAGTCCGAGGAAGAAATTTCAGAGTCCATATTTACCTATACATCATTAAATTTATGTAACTTATAATTTATTTTCATTTGTTGCATTGAATGAATAAAGACTATATGTATTAATATATGTTTTATTTTTCCTCCATAAACTGTCATGTAGTCATACATGAGTATTTCAACACAATACCAGACTGATAGATTACTTGTACATTACAATAACTTTTACAAATACTCACTACTGAATAAACCATCTGTTACAATAAATAGAAATTAGAATGTGCTGTAAGTCACAGCTAAAACCGAAATTTAACAAACTCATTGCCGTTTGTCATATACGAGGAAACATGAGGAATTGCGTAAAACAAGAGTCTAACCGCAACGAAAAATAAAAAGACGGATTGTATTTTCGAAACGTTCGTAATGTTTTATGGGTATTTTAACGCCCACAAACCCACGTTTTTACTTAATACATTTGAGAATTTGCTTTATTTTTAGCTTTACGATCATTTTTTTAACTTATTAAAAAAGATAAACAAGAAACATAGCCAAGTCCCAGGACTTTGGCGAATTCTAAATGCCGAGTCCGGATCCGGAATTTGTTAGTCCGGGACGTCGGGCTTGAGGATTTTTGAACCCCTATGATAAGTAAGGGAAGTTGACGATAATGAAAACTGAAAAGTTAAAGTCATCAAGTTTATCATAGAGCTTGGTTGTTTCAAAATTTCATTGTAACACTACAGCCGCTGCTGTCATTTCCGATTTTTTTCAGTCCAGTATTTTCTGAAGAGGGTTTTCTCTTCAAAAAAAGGGGGCGTATCTAACCCATAACATTGGCGAGGCAACCAGGGGACTGCATTTGTACTTGCTGTAAAAGTAAAAAAAACTAGAGGTACTGTGAGCAATGAGCTCACTAAATGATACCCCCCGCCTCCCATATGATTATAATGGCAAAGTCCATGTTTTGCGGTGGCCAGGAAACCCAAAATATTTGTCGGATCAAAAAATGAAATAGAAGGTGCACAATGGCAATATGTAATAAAATAGGAGGTGCACAATGGCAATATGTAATAAAGATTCTGTGAAAGTTTCATTAAATTTCACTCAGTGGTTTAAGAGGAGTTGAGGATAAGAGATGGGTACCCCAAAGCGTAACAGACGGACGGACAGACGGACGGACGGAATTAACGATTACTATATACCCTCCCGCTTTTCAAGCGGGGGGTATAAAAAATGAGTACTGGGAAAATGGAACATGCCAGCGTTTATTTTTCAACATGGAGAAGTCGACATCAATGTAGGTAAGTATTATGCAATACTTTCAATGCCCATTATAATGTTTATCTTATTTTTTTTCAGATTGTTAATTCCACTGCATTCCTCATTCGCCAGGACAAAGAGAAATTACAACTTCTCCGTGAACAAAGTTTTCCTGTAACTAACGATTGGCGTCAGCAAAATTACTCAAGATACATTTCAAATTTCGCCTCCCATTTCGGGAAAGAGCGGTGTATGTTAGTGGGTAGCACAAAAGAGGGGACCCGACTTCGCTTTACTCGCGATGAGGGAGACTATGACTATTTGTTAATCTCTGATGTCTCTATACCAGCAGAAGCCTTAGAATATCGTGCAGACGTTCCATGTTTTGTTCATATCAATGTCAACAAAGTGCAGTACAATTTTTCAAACTATTCTATTGTGGATGGAAAGTATTTGAACACATTTCTATTGAAAGATTTTGACAAAAGGGTCTTCAAGATTTTAAGAGGTCTTTACGATGTTTTAACCTTGCCTTCTTTAACCCATTCTTATGACAGTATTCACATAAAAGTCAACAAACAGGTAAAGCCCGGTTACAACCAGATGCACTATGCTGGTTTTGAATACAGAGATGCACATCTTGATTATATTCAGGTAAAAGCAGATATCGAAGCAATTACAAGACAATTTAGAAATCTGCTAGCTAGTAGTGATATCTCAGAGGATATGCTCTCGGTTTTGAGCAATACTTTATCCTTAATCGAGGAATTAAGACCCGAGGATATTACAAATTCTCTTACTTTTCAAACATTTGGAGCTCTCATTAAAGCTGCATCTGGCGAAACCATTTCATCACTACATAAAGGTAAACCGAATACGATGAAAGAAAGGGATACCAATGAAACCAGGAAAGATAATAAACAAAGTCCTCCTGAATCTCAGAATTATCTTGCTATACAGTACGAGTACAAGTCTGGTCGTGATTTTATACCAGCGTTTCCGATTGCAGGAAAGCTCCCGTGTTTGGATGAATGGAGAAACCGCTTGTTAAAATCAAGTGTCTTTTGGCCAAGTCAAGAAACCATTAATAAGATCTACGAAAGTGAATTTTTTGTCATAGCAAAACCAGCAATTGTCAATGCCGAGGTTAGCAAGGACTTCTGTATCGGTTTCAACAATGCCGAGATGATTCTGGCTTCATCATTTTCCGATGGTCAGAGATTATGTTTCTTGCTTTTGAAATCTTTACTAAAAGGCTTTCTTAAACCATACTCAGAGCGACTGACCACATATCTTTGGAAATCAGCATTTTATCACGTGTCTGAAAACACCGAAAGAGACGAGTTTTCGAACACAATTGGAATATTTTCAGTATTGAGGAATGTTACAGAATACATGCTTGAATGCCTTGAGAAACTTTATTTACGACATTACTTTATTGAAAGTAATTTGATTGCTCATTTTAGTGAGGAAGAATCATATCAAATTATTACTGCTCTTAAATCTCTACTCTCGGATCCAGAGAAAGCTATAAATGTTTATTTTTCTTCCAAGAAAACAGATGAAAAGATTATTGATTATATTGCCAAAGAACAAATTGAAGACTTGAAACACCAAGAAGGCGACTCCTCTCGAACAACCCACGCAGAATCAGTTGTGTCCCTTATAAGTCACCTCCAAGCTGGGACGGGTAACAATTCCACCAAATTCGTGGAGGCCATACTTGACACTCTGTCTGTGGTGGTGAAATCTGAATTAAACTTCGACTGCTACAAACATGATTTTTGTGTGGAAATTCTAAAAATGGTAGGAGATTATCTCAACACAAAATTTAGGACTAAAGAGGAAAGAAAGGCAAGTTTAGGGGGCATAGCATTAATATTTTCGCTGTTTCAGTCCTTCACAAAAAAATTATTTGTATGAATTTTGGGTTATTATGAATTTCACAAATTACCTATTTCAAATCGTTCAATTTTTTTTTAAAATTGACGTGAATTTTTTTTAATGGTTTGTCTGTATGATGCATGTATTTTTAAAACACCGGGAAAATGACCACACAGTAAAGATTTTCCGAAACTACATGCATAAGTAATTTTACATTTTCTAAAAAAAATAATCACGAATTCTGTCGAATATATTAAACCAGCATAATGGAGCAGAAATGAAAAAAAAGATCACATTTACTGCCAGAATGGATTAAAAGTATCGGATGGATGTTGAAATACATGTATCGCAGTAAAGATTGAAGGTCAGTATGAAAACCATCCTTTTGTCTTTCACACGTACCTGTAATTGTTTCATATCTGGATATTTTACTCGATAAAGAAAGAAATGATAAACTAACAAAGAAACTTTATGATAAACGATGAATTCATCTTCCCTTTGTCATGTTTTGAATTTACCGGGTGGCAGTAAATACAAAATTTACAGCATGACAAATTTTGTATTTACTGCCACCCGGTAAATTCAAAATTTACAACATGACACCTTATTTATGAAGCAATATGCCATTTTCGCCTGCATTTCGTGTCACATCGTACATTTGGCCGTGGTTTGCTACGATGTTGATATTTTGTCACTTGGTTGATTTGATACACAGATCATATGTTCTACATATAAAACAAGACAGATTCATATTGACAAACGAGCCGATGACGCAAGGATATCAACAAACTCAACAATTTGCCAATTCTACTGTCGATACAATGTCCTTATTAATAGAGTCTATTGTTAAGTCGAATGTTGATAGCTACAGATCTGTAGCGTTATGTAGTAGTTACCCCATATCATACTGTTGGTTATGTGTAGATACCCGATGGGCGTGGTCATAATGACACGAGGGAGCGTAGCTCCCGAGCTGTCATTATGACCACGCCCATCGGGTATCTACACATAATCAACAGTGTGATATGGGGTAAATGACTTGTACCATAGTTTTCAAAAATCATTCATATGTAAGTCAGCTTAGGAATCGGTCGGACCGGTTCGCGTGAATGAAACATTAAGTGTTTGGTTTCAAAGATGCATTTGGATTTTATATGATTTTATGCTCCTTCGTGTCCTTCTGACCACGTCCATCGAATATAGGGTAAGTGATTTGTATACAATACTTTTCAAATTTTGCTACAAATTTTGCCATATACTCGGCACTCAGGGTCATTGAGCAGTGAGGGATCTTCTTCTTGTCAACACCTTCTGCGACACGGGACCTCTGTTTATACTTTATAGGTCTCCACGTCCCACAGTGGGATTCAACTCCTTACTTCGTGACTCTAGGGCAGGCGCTTTAACCACTGGGCTCTGCAAGCGACATAAAAATTAAACATATCTAGGCCCGTTTAAAAAGTTTGCTTTATGCTATTGAAAAAATGACGAGTTTGGTTTCAGTGATATATGTTAATTTGATATGTTTTTTTTCTCGTAAATTTCAATCGTCAAAATTACATACTAGTAATTTAAATTTATTATGAACTTGGTTTAACTTAAATTTTTGTAAACCTAATACAAACTTTGCCGTGCACAGTGGTACGTTGATTGAAATGTTTGTTAGGGGTTATGTATATTTCAGTTTAATGAAAATTAGATCTTTGATCGGCTAAATCCGCAATCGAAAAGGTTATTTAAGTACAGCAGTGTACACTATTAGTTATCCAGGTTCAATCAAGGGTGTACGGGGATTTACCCCGGGTTGTATTCCATACACCCTTCGGCCGAACGGGGATTTACCCCGGGTTTTATTCCATACACCCTGAGGCCGAAGGCCGAAGGGTGTATGGAATACAACCCGGGGTAAATCCCCGTACACCCTTGATTGAACCTGGATAACTAATATTATTTCCTATCTAGCTTGTAACACGAGCTTTGATTGGTTACAAAGTCGGGTGTAAATATCCGTGCACCCGACTTGAGCCGGGTGTAAATAAGCATTGTTATGGGTACAAAGGAAATAAATTCGTTATCCAGGTCCAATCAAGGGTGTACGGGGATTTACCCCGGGTTGTATTCCATACACCCTTCGGCCTTCGGCCTCAGGGTGTATGGAATGAATGTTTTTACGTCAAGTATTTACCGTGTTACCTTTGTTAAGGAATAACTGTCTTATTTTTCGAATTCATGAAGTGATCAATGGATTGGCTTGTGTGATAATTTGCATAAACGCCGAAGGCGTTTATGCATAAAATTATCACACAAGCCAATCCATTGATCATCTTCATGAATTCGAAAAATAAGACAGTTATTCCTTATATTTACATGCTTTGATTCCGCCAATCCACGGGCTCCAAGCCTGCTTCTCTCAAGGTGTTGTCCCGCCCTGCACGTGGTTTTTTTGGAACCGCGTCAAAACATTCATGAGGAAATCAATTACATTTACAATTGGAATTTTATCTCGAACAAAGACATTGGAAATGTAAATATTTAGTTATCAAGAGAACGATATATTGGAATCTACTAAGCTAACGTCATCCTGGTCATTACACTATCTAAATAAATGTTTTAAAAATCAAGCGATTTCTGAAGTTTTTTTTTTCTTCACTTAAATAACTAAAGTTAAAGTATTAATGACCGTTTTTAACTGTTATTTATTACAAAATGCTGTAGACAATTGAAAATTTTTACTCCTTTTTACTACCCTTAATTTGGTATAAAACCACCAAGATAACAGGCCCGTATCATGCGTACGATTGTTTCATTTAAAAACCGTGCATGATCGTTTTATAAATAGTTCTTTTGTCCCGACTCGATGGGCGGAGTTATAGAAAAGTGTGGGTTATGTACAGAAAACCCACACTTTTAACAAAAGAAATCACACCTAACTATGGTACAAGGGTTTATATATTCATCTTTATGGTCAAAGACAAATATATAAAACCATAACGCTACAGATCTGCAGCTATAGAATGTTGACTGACGTTTTTGATACAAATTGTTGAGTCGTCATTTCACACTAAATCGTATAGGTATTTTGTTAGTTTGTCCGATCACAACAAAGAGCACTCAGTGAGATGCAAACGATTCTTGGCAATTGATCCCACCTCTGATAATTTAAGACTTATCTTGACTCTATTTCCAGTTTGTATCGTTAAAGTGGACCCTTGGACTAGATATTATTACTTATCGTTATAATTACGTATTTCATTCTAGAGTCTCCACATTGTCATTATGGATTAATCGTAATCTGTCGACACGAGATCCCTGACATTGTGAGGATGGAGCCTTATAAACCTGAGGTCCATATGACCACTTTATCTTTATTCACGCTCATTAACAAGCATTGCAAAGCTCGCAAAAGAGCAACTTGATTTGATTATGTAAATTAAAACTTTTAACTCATCCCCTCCACGGAATCGCGTTAGCTATACCCCCTCTAACTTCATTGTGATGGAATAAGGAGAATTAGCAATATTACCATGCCTTCCTTAGATGGTGAACGCATGTTTTGTTCATCCTCATTAAGCTCAAGATGCTGATTTTCCATATTTTGGTAAGCAGATTGAGAATTGCTTGGATTTTTTTTTTTAGATTTTATAGGGACTTTCTGCTAGTGGGGAAATTATGTAGGAAAATCGATTTCTCTCATATTACATAAACTATACATGGTTGGGGATTTATTTTGAAAACCAGACATAACAATTCCAAAAATTAATTTGCATATATCAATTATATTTTGCACTTCTTTGATATACATATAGCTGCTGCTATGGTTTGACATTGGCGAATGTGTATTTCAAAAGGTAAACAACGGATTCTTTACAAAAAGCAACTGTAATGTGTTTTCCCCAAATTCATATCAATTCACGGGGAAAAAAACACTGTTTACATCCCTCTTTTGTCTTCACTATTGTTGCCCATATTTAAAACTCGAATAATTTTAATATTATTTCGGATGTCCCAATTGTTTACCATATCGGTTAGTCTGATACCTTTCCTCAAACAATTGGACACTTTTTACGAACCTGGGACAATCAAATGATATTAATGTACACACAATGCCACAAATAATGACCACACCAACAACTCCGATGCTCTTGGCAGAGGTCCGTGGGTCGGAGGCGCTGATTTTTTGTCTTTTTGAAGATGTCAGCTCTTTTTTCCGGAGAACAAGTTCCTTTCTAGTCGCCACTATATATCCCTCAAGCCAACGAGAGAATTCAACGTCACTTAAATTGTGCCATTCTGGTTTAGCTTTACAAGGACACATACAAATCTTTGTATTGTTGTTCTCTGTATATTAAAGAAAATATTTAAATGACATTCATTTTTTATTATTAAGTAGATAGAAACACAAGGTAATATGCGAATTTTTTTTGACTGTTATTATCAATAACTGGGTATTTTGCATGTTTTTCTAAACATCGAACTTCGACTTGCTCTTTTTGATACTTGGATAAATAATTAATGCCATACATCTGAATTGTAATGGCATTATATTTACATCCACTGAATATTTTCTCCTTTATTTCTTAAGAAAACCCATTGCGTTAATCACTGCATGAACTACTAGTACATTAGGCATGTCGCCTGTACAGATTTCTTGATCAGTGGCTGTTCCATGAATGAAACATATAAAAACGTTTGCATCATTAATACAATAATTAATCTTTTTAATCCTACTTTAAATGATTATTTAAACAGATATAAATATAAACAATAAAATGCCTTTCTTTGGTATTACTGGAATTCACGGTCGCAGCTATTGCAGAATTTTTTTTTACAAAACCCGCTTACGCGGGTTATGTATTTTTTCTGCAACAGCTGCTTCCGTTAATTCCAGTAATAACAAACAAAGAAAGCATTTTATTGTTTAAATAAGTGCATATATTGTGTGTGCGTTAAAAAATAGAATTTGTGAGGTTAGAAAAAATTAACTGAGTGTAAGGAAATGGTTTACTGCCATCTTTGAGAATTTTAAAAAGAAAATCTTTAAATCATTGTTTAAAAAATACAAAATAGCAACAGTTACTTTCAGAATTGTGGAAAAAAAGGTTTTAATATAACTTCTTATTCTGTTAGATACAAAGTGTAACAAGAAATATTTAGCGAAATTTTAAAACGAATCCCGTTGTTGAATAGTTTTACCTTTTGCAAAGGTACTAGTAATTTGCAATACGATACTTTTCACTTTACTATGAAAGAGATGTAAGCATAACGTACAATATATTATTTAATTTCTTGCTTAAAGTACTATTTAATATCCACTTTAAAAGTAAAACTTACCTGAAAGTGTATCATTGAGATCCTGGAAAGTGCAAACGAGGAAACAGTTAAAAATTCAAAGTAAATATGAGTTAATTAACATTCCTCATTTTACGAACATAACAAATTTTGTTTTAGAAATATTAATTACCTGCTGTGTTTGTAAGCAAGGAGTGGTTGAATTGTCGACTTTGATAGGGAATTGAAAATTGTCATTAACAAAAGTCAAAGCTCCATATTTCCACTTTCGAATGTGAGATCGGACACAAAATGGGTTACTGGCAGTTATACTAAAAGACCTATTCATTGACTTCTCTTGATTTGTTTTATTATCACGTGACCCGTCAATGTATATATCCGTAGTGTCTTTGTAAAGGGGGTATATCTTAATGATTCTTACATGCACCTCTCCTGGAGGAACCTTGCTGATGTCAAAGCAAGGGACGACATATGACGTCACAATACAGAGATCTGTGGGCGGCAGGTGAACGCGGATATTGTTGATTCGATCCTTCTCGCCGCACACGACAGATATCAATGCAGAAGCCGCTATTGAGACGTTATATAAACCTTGGATCTGAATATTTTCCATGTATGTCATCGTTTGGGTATTAATGGAAGGGAAGATTGTTGAGTTAGGAAATGTTCCATTGTGGGGCATTATGATTTCTACAGCTGTTTGGTCATGAAGCGCTGTTATACTGCAAACGGTTTCCGAAGCATTGAAATTTACACCGTAGACCAAGATGTAATTTGTTCCAAGGGATGATATTGGAAGAATGCTGTATTGAATATTGTGAGAACCAAACAGCCCTTGAAGTGAGACGTATTCGTTCGAATGCACTAAAATAGAGTCATTGCTTGCTAATCCATTTACATGAAAGGATTGTTTTGGTTGAACTTGTTCAACAGTAGAAACGCCTTCCCTTGTAATGTTTACAGTCGCAATTTTGTCCAAAGAAGGATTAAAGATAATGAATGATTGATTTTCCATTTCATCTAGTGAGAATGTACCGAATAAAAATTCTTTTCCAAGAAAACATTCGCAACCTTCGACAAAGATAGACACGAAAAATTTATGTTATATTTAGTACATCCAGTTAGCAAAAAATTAACTTTTAATGCAAACTTTAATATAGAATATAAAAAAGACGATTTCATGCAAAATTCTAACAATAAAATGTAACATGTGGTATACATATACTTGGAATCATACATCCGGTTAGGAGAATATTTATAGAAATGATTCTCGCCATTATATCTGCCAATGCGTCCCTCATTATTATACATGTACGTGTCAATGGCTCGGCAAAGACGACCAATGCTCCGGATCATATGTGTTTTGGAACCGCTACATGTATTTCTGGCTGTTCCATTAGTCTAATCTGATGCTAGTATACCTACATAAAAATCAAAAACCTTAAATAAGTAAAACAAATTTAAGTTTTTAAAAATGTTTAACAAACTAAAATTAATTTCGATTTTTTTTTTCAAATTTAGCAAATTAACAACATCAATGTTATACTCACAACTGTTGATCTTGGATCTCTTCAGTTGAAATTGGTGTAAATTCTACCAATAGTATGTTTTCTGCGTTAAAATGCTCTTTGTTTAATGAGCCGCCTTACTGAGACTGACCTCTTATAATGAACTTGAAGATTAACAATTTCAAGGTCTTTTGTTTGCAAAGAACTCCATTCTGTACTTGTTTATTAGATCACGCGGAGGAATACCAAAAGATAGAGGATATTGTGGGAATTTGTGATATTTTCCAATTCGTACGAAGAAAGAATCAATTATTTTATGTAATTAGTGGCTAATTTATAGGATTAACAGGATTTTCAAATATTGAGACTAGAAATACTGTCGAGAAAACGGATGCAATTATGTGAAGGTCTTCATTTTTGAATTGATTCATTGTTTACTTCTGGTCTGGACATCCCTTTGCGAAGAGCACACTTTGATAAAAATCAAAGCAGCATTCCACCTCGACCCCGATGCAAATAATATCACTTCCGTTTCGCACAAGGACAAATTATACTCTCATATTAATACACACACACCCTCCCTCACACACCCTCTCTCTCTACATGTACACATGAATGTTTCCTCCATCTTCATTGGGAGGGGATAATAAGTTTTGCAAGACAAATACATGTACAGTAATATCGCAATATCTTGTATCGGAAAGCCAATGTAAAATAAATTGATTCTATGAATGACAACATTGTACATTTTATTTATTTATGTAAAGCATACTTCAAGCATCAATTAATGTTTGTTTAAAATAAATAATAAAAACATATGTGCGGTGATTACATGTAGAAAAGTATAAAAGGCGTATTTAAGTTTAAACCAACAAATTACTGAAATCAAGACCAAAAATGTTCAAGGACATTTATATCAGTTTTTAAATGCGTTCCTGGCATTTTCTCTTCGTCTAAATTGATAAGATACAACTAACTCGGTGTTGTTTTAATATCCAGTCAACATCTTCTAAGAATTCTCTTTATCCAACTAGGACAATGCCGTCTGCGACTGCGCCTGATGTTGGTTCCATAAAGTCCTGCTTGCCTGGCATAAGCCATCATTCTTAGCCCGCTGTGGAGAACCTCTCTCCGGACACGCACTGGCAGATCTGTTAAAAATAAATTGTTTATTAGAAGAAGTCCTTAGTACTTAGATTTAAGACAATACTTTATTTAAATGACTTGTACAAGTATGAAATCCACTTACAGTTAAAGGAAGACACTTTGTTGTCATAGCAAAAACAACTAGTCACTAAGAATGCTATAACAAAATAATTAATGACTAAAATTTTCATTTTCGTCCAGACAAGATGAATGCATTTGGTACGTATAATTTGGCTCGTCTTCTTGGCTAAATCTGTTTATCATCGAACGACGCATAAGGTCGGGTAAATCAAATATTGTCCGCCTGATAACAAAGAGTCAGTTGGTCAACAGTGGTACTAAACCAAATAATCAACATCTACACCTGTTATCTTGTTTAGCAAACTATAAATTGTTCAAACATCTATGGTAACGCTTTACTCCTTTGTGTATGATTATATAAAGCATTGTGTGTGATTATATAAAGTTTTCTACGAAAAGAACAAGACTCAAAATAAAAGAAAATAGCAAATAAATCTATTTAATTTTTATTGATAAACTTTAAAAACTGATTTGGAAAAAAATTAGCTCATTGAACAAGTTATAAATATATAGCCAAAATCTTGCGTTATATAACTTATTATTGAAAGCTTTTAATCGTTTTATATTTTTATACTTTGCAGCATCTACATATAGAGTTTACATATTTCTCTTTTACAGAAAGAGACATTAATAAGTTTAACAGGATCAACCCGGAAATTAATAAGAAAAAACCACGTTTGTAGCAAATAATGATTCAAACAAATATGCATGCGGACCATGTCTTAAATCAAAATTCTGATTCTGGTTGTTTTGAGTTCCAATCAACACATGTTTAATACAGAAATTTATACACAAGGTGAAAATGTTGTTTGATTATCAAATTGGTAAAAAAAAATTATACTTATTGTATTTGACGCGTGAAATTTTGACTTTTGATGTTCTCAGTTGATGGTATCAAAGAGATTTGTCTATATGTATCTATAGAATCATGATGCTATCAATATTGCTGTTGACAACTAAATTTATTTTTAAAATGTTACATGTAATAGATATCTAACACAGACCTTTAAAAATATTATAAGAATGACAATTTAATGTATGGCATTTTATTCGTATCTATTTGATTTTATTTAAATTTAATCATGAGATTTTTATAAAGATAGGCTTGAGGATTCTGGTACACATAGAATTTACAGGGTTTTTTTATGCTGATAGTTGTATTTTTATTCGAAATGTCTGAAGCAGTTGCACTTTCTATGCTCATAATTCATTTTAAGTGTCGTTAATTTTCACTTCAGAGAAAATAAGATATATGTGCTTAGTCTTATGTCTGATGTATGTCTCACCCTGCTAAATATATTTCTGATTTCATCAGTTTCAGATTTCATAAACAAAATGGGCTAAAAACGAGGAATTACTTGAGATTTTCAAATAAGAAAGAGGAAAATTAAATATATATTAAATCACATTTTTTATCTTTCTGATAAATCAGTTAGCATATATTTACTTTATTTTGAACAAGCACAGTTTGTAACAATCTCCAGTATTAAAATTAAACGTTTTTGAAAAAAACATGCACACAACAGAAGGCAAAATTACATCTTCATGCTTTATGTTATCTTTATCAGTAGTTTTTTGCTTTGTTTTTGAGATTTTTTTAACTATGGATTTTATAAAATTGAATGAGAGCGTTCTAGACCCCAATCTTTCGAAAAACTCGGGTACTGCATAAATACATGTATGTATTTTTCATGTTTATTAGATAACTCCACACGAATATCAATCGAACACTTGTTTACCCGTTGTTTAGGTAGAGTGCCAGTTTGATTGGCTATTGTATTTGTAGAAACCGTGTTCCATAGGTAGTTGAATGAGCATCAGAGAAAATTGAGACGTTCAAAACCTTTCTCTCTCTGTCGATACAAACTAACTTTCCCCACCGACATGTGCTATGATGAACGGCATTTCTCCTTTCAGAAGAAATGGACTCTCTTTATGTCGGCCAACGTTCAAGAGAAACCCCAAAAAGTTCCATGAGCTGTATGGTAATATTCAGATTTTTTATGGCATGATCTCAAATCCTAATAAACAAACTAGGGAGTAAAAAAAAGGGGGGGGGGGTACGTCTATTTATATCAGGTTTCGGAGCAAGTCTCTAGGTTTCTAAAAGTAATGTAAATGATAAAAAAGTCATCTGTACGTTGCAAATATAGAGAATGAACATTTGCCTTAAAAATTACACAAAATTTAGCTGCACATTATAATATCACTCTATACGATAAATGAAAAAAAAATCAAATTCTTTGTTTTGATATCAAGAACAATGCTTCTTCAATAATAGTGAAACTCGAAAATTATCATACCTTTTGATCGGCCATCCACAAAGTTACTTTGCTAATTACTTTAATTAATTCCCTATGATATTTTCCAGCGATTTTTGGAAAATGCTTATTAAAGAACTTTACAAATAACCAACGAATTAATTTTTACGATTTTCAATTTTTATTGAAAAAGTAGCTGTCAATGATATCAAAAAGCCAAAATTATATCCTCGGGAATAAAAATTCTAAGTTTTTATACGGCATTTTGTTAAAATCTTATTATTTCGAATATAAAGAATGAACATTTCCTTTAAAAATTGCATAAAATTTTACTGCACATTATAAAAGCATTCTATACGATAAATGAAAAAAGTCAAATTCCATGTTCTGATATCAAGAACAAATGCTTAATCTTCAATAATTGTGAAATTCCTCAAATTATTTTACCTTTCCTGATCCCTACACAAATTTTTTTTTTTTCGAAAGTTTTTGCCAATTACTTTAATTAATTCCCTATTGACAGCATCCACGTAATCTTCGAAGACCATATCTTTCAGCAAACTGTTGGCATTAAATTAACTTTGACACAAAGCATAGTGTTTTTTTTGCTAATTCAAGTTTAAAAAGGACTTTTATTCAAAAACCTACAAGATAATGAAAAAATGATATAATTTTCTGTGGCCTTTAAGTTTAACTGGACATTATACATTTATTGACATGAGAAGATATGGCAGGCTAATATGCGTTTTCTCGGACCCAATCCCACCACTACTGTTTGCCTGAGGCCGTCAGTTTTGTTCCAATGGACATTTGAATTTGCTGTTGGTAATTTTCTTCTTTCAAATTAAAATATCCAAATATGAAAAACAGATGTGTCAGATATGGCATATTTAATATGACTGTTTTTTCTCAAGATTTTTATCAGGATATATCGTTTCGACACAATAAGAATGGATATTGCCCAGTTTATAGTTAATTGATTACGATTTCAGAAATGGTGGATGTGTTACACATTTGAAGGCCACAGCAAGTGTTTTTTTTTAAAGTCTTCACTTTTTGCATTATATAATTTTCTAGTTTCACACACATTCTGAAAAATAAAAATAAAAAAATCAATATGTTAATTAAAAATCACATCTTTGATATTTTCCTCCAAATAAATTGGTACCATATTTAATTCAAAATTGTGAGATTGTTGCTTTGCATAATCAGTTTTTTTTAAAAACAAAATATGATTTTTCTGTCAAAAATTTAAAACTCAAGAAAATTTTTTCATGTCAACATCAGAGTAGGATGATCAAAATGTATAAAGATATTGCTTAAAAGAGGTTGATTTTATGTTAAAATTGGATCATTTTTTTTCTGCAAGTATTTTAAGTCACAATTAATATAATTTGTTTAAAAAATTAAAAATGTGAAAAACCCAGATCTGTGTGCAACCAGCATGGAAAAATAGGAATCTAAACTTAAAAGTTCTGTATATACGCAAGATATCAAAAGGGAAATATTGTTCATTTTCTTCTGAAAAAAAAATCCCGCCACAAAATAAAGTTCCTAGCTTAATCCTATTTGAATGGAATTTAATTGTGTTTTTTTTCTTCATTAGATATAGTTTAATTTGCATTGTAGAATCTAGATTTAATGTTAGAACTTAAAAATGATGCAGAATGTTAGAAATAAAGGTCTTGGCCAAAATTTACTCAAAAGCGCAGTCCTGATCGAACCTCCTGAATAAGTGTATGTAAATTTACTTTGATACATGTATTTGTCCATTTTCCTGTAGTCATCACCTTTCTTTTTTTATTGAAAAACTACGTCCTTTTTGCAAGTAATAGGTTCTTGTTTTGATGCCACAGACGTGAAAAAACTGTGAAATAAGATAATCATAGAAATTTTGAGAACATTTTCAAAACAAATTCATTTCTTCCTTGCATTTTTGTTTTTAAGAAATGACATGGAAAATCTTTGTCATTTCCTTGTCGATAAATACAGATTGTATGTGAACCAAAGTGCATGCATATATTTTACAAAAATAAATCATCTGTAGGGTTGCTTTCCTGTCGTTTAATAGATAACTGAGTTTATTGGCCACAATCAAAAATCAACTTGCATGATAGAAAAACTATAAAGGAAGAAAAAAAAAAAGATTTCTTGGAAATGTTGACATTTTCAACAACTTTCAAAATCAAAATATGTTAAGTATTATATATAGGAGGGGTTATCAAGAAAGTATATACATTTATTCAGCACATTCTCACAACTCTTAAGCTAATATATATCAGTCTCAAGTGAATTAATATTTCTTCACCAAGGACAGTTATTCTAGTTTAAGAGTTGAAAGAAAAAAAAATATTCTTTAGAAATAAAATATACATTACAATGTGTAACGGTAATAATCCTATAATAAAACTAATAGCAAAATAATTGTATCTCAATCCTTTTCTTAATAATCGTGTATATAATGGATGGCAGTGCCGCACGAATTTTCCATCGGCATGGAAAGCAACTTTAACAGTTTATATTGCTTTAATAGATGGCCGAGCGGTTTAGAGCGCTGTTCTTTTTCTACAAGGGGTTTGAGAGTTCATTGGAGCACAGATGCTTGGGCACGGGACCCCCCCCCCCCTGTGTTCCGTAGTTTTTTTTTTTTACTTTAAATCAAAGAACCCGGGATAGGGGTCCCGTCCCCAAGCACCTGTGGGTTTGAGTAGAACTATCGGTTTTCTTGTAAAAGTAGATTTTTTGTGGAAAGAAGGTAAACAAATTTAAACGACTTTGTACAACTATACGTATAATAGTAAAATTTTGCTTTACCTATAATTAAAATGTACATTTTATGCAAAATACACAAAATATTAGTATACCTTGTTGCCCTCGTGGCAAAGTGCAAATTTCTGACCAGCCCATGTAAATTCCCGCTTCGCAGTCGCTGCTTACTACACTCTATAGGTAACTAGTGCAGGCAAAAATAACATAAGCTTATCAGCTGGTCACAGTTGCACTTATGCTTATATTTGTAAAATTCTGTAAAATGTAAACATGGAATGTCCACATATATGGTTATTTCATCATTTCTCAGTCCATTCATTTGAACGAAAAATACATATCACGGTCGGTAAATATGAACAACCTTTGGTATTCTTGAAAGAAAAGATACATTTTGATTTTATAATTTATTTTTAAGGTGACATTGACTATACACAGAAAAATAATTTTAAAAATTTTACATTGTTTTATCAGCAATGTCTTAGAACGGCACTAATTCGAAGTACATGTGTTTATTAAGTATTGCAAAATCGCGCATCTAATATACATTTTAAAAAATATATACTAAATAAACAATAATCAAATGTATAGATCAATTCAAAGATGTTTGTAAGTCTTTTTGGATAAAGAGTTCAGGAAAATGAATAAATGAATATATTTTTGCATTAACATCTAGATTTGAGAATTTGATCCCCTTTCATACAGTCGTATAAACTATATCCACAGGGAGTATATAGTAAATCACAAATGAACTGGTCTAGTTCTGCTTCAGTTCAAAATTTCTGTATATTGCAGTATTCTTGGCATACATTTTACACTCATGTGTACGCTATGACAATATTTTTATTTTTTAGTTTTATCAAATCACAGGTGTTCTCTGCATTCCTTATCTTGGGTGTCTTCACGATTGTTGCAAATTACCAACACAATAGAATTTAATTTGTATTCGGGGTTTTTTTTTCCACATGAAAGATGAAAAGGAATCTGGTGTTGATTAGTCATAATGAGGAAAACTTCGTGACAAGAAGTCTTATATGAATGATCCGCCCCAGCTCTTCTATGTACATCATAGATGTAAACTTTTAACATCTTCCCCTGATCCGCCTCCAGAAACCACACGGTCTTTTCTGGCGGACTCTGTTTGTGTTGTACATTGAATCGTCCCTGGCTGACAGAAGAACTCGGACAGTATTTTCACCAACTCGCCGTGTTTCTGCAAAGATAAAAAAAGCTTTTTTTTTTAAACTAACATCCATCAAAAACTTTAAAATTCCATTAGTTCTTCTTAAAAAACTTTTTAATATCGATCATAAACTTTATTAGTTCTCCTTAAATACAATATTCAGATTCAGAAAAGTTTTTAAAATAGGAAGAACATGAAGAATAATTTTTACTTTGAAATTTATATAGTTCAAGCGTTATATCCTATATAATATATATCTCAAAAAAAAAAAGAAAATTTTTTTCGGGGGGGGGGGGCAACAAAGAGCATTTTTATTAATATCTTAAATTCTTTAAAATTTCGTTTGCTTTGAGAGACTTTTTTCTTGTCTTAAATCAATTTTGGGGGAAATTGAAATGAAGTATAGAATGAACAAGTTGTTTTTCTCCCTTTTTTTTAAATTTACAAGATATTTTATTTATTTAAAATAATATTTTTTACTGCACATATTGAAATTAACATGCATCTTGCATATTTGCAGCTTTTTAAATACATCATTAGACTAGAAATAAAAGAACTATAATATATATAAATTTCATTTGATTAAAAAAAAAGTCCACATGCAGTTACACATATATAATTATATACATGTACCCTGATTTGAAAAAAAAAACCCAAACATTTTGATAGTTTTGTTTCGTTTCGTTTCGGCGGGTTTCCTCTCATTTCGTTTCGATGCCCCAGCATCAGTATTTCGTTTCGCACTTTACAGGTACCCATTTAAAGTAATATTTTTATCAGAAAAACAAAAAAGTCAAAATTTGAAACAACTCACCTCTCATGGATGCCCCAGCATCAGTGTCATCGACATCGTCTGAATAGCAGGCGACCACCAACGAAAGAAAAACACAAGCAATAAAAAAGCCCCAAAACTTAGACACGGCCATTCTGCTCTCAAATATTTTAAAGAATTTCTCCACCAGACTCTTCACTTTTATACGTTTTGAGGAGTCGGAAACTGAGCGTGATTGCGATAGCGAACTTACGCTTTTTTCATAAACTGCGATTAGGTTATAATGTGAGGTGGAAGTAAACAGACGGGATTTTCCGTGTTCTTGACCTTGATTCAGAGCTTGTATATTTATTTCCGTCTTTTTCTGTTTTTTCACAGGTTCACTAACATACAAGATATGCAAAGAAGATTGTAGTTAATGGAACTAACAAAACTCCCGGAATGATGAGTATGCCAGTTGTAACAAGGCGTTAATTATTTTCATAACGAACAATATAAAAACATGGTAGCAATCAAAGTGCAATATCAGAATATACAAAGGTTCCGTCTCTGTAATTGTACTTTGATCAACTACACATGGAAAACTGCATTTAAGATTATAAACTCAACAAAAAAAGGATTATCTGAATTTTTATTAATGAATATAATGTCGTTCAAAGAATGTATTATTAAAATACAAAAAATCAACATTTTAGACTGTGAGATAGAGTTTTTCACTGCAAAAACCAAAAATCACCCGAAGCACTTTGTCAGTGGGATACGCAGACAAACTAGAACGACACAGACGTTGGAATGACTTGTGTCACGTACAATTAAGTAATGTCAATGCTATAGAAATTGTGGGTTGATAAAAAAGAGATAGATATACTAAGTAGGAGAGACTACACGTCTGAATGTAGACAGGGCATCAAAGTACATTTGTCAATAATGTTACTATAGAGTACCGGTTTTATATTGACATTTTTGTGTATAGGTAAAAATAAAATATGGAGCACGATCAAATATAACCACAGATTCATTGACAAGGATATTCATTATGGCAAACATATTAAACAATATACCCGAACTTTCTATAGAAAGTTAGTAAAAACAGATCTGTTCCAAATGATGTCAACAGATAATATCTTTAACTTTATCCTGTAGAATATTTCAACTTCTAAGTTTAAATATTGAGATTATGTTTGCTTTTGCTATGGACATCATGAAGGTATTGTTTTTGTGTAAAAATTGCTAAAGCTAAAACAAACCTATTTTTCTGGTAGCATTGATGGGGTACCTGTAAAGTGCGAAACGAAATAGAAACGAAACGAAACGAAACGAACTGAAACGAAACGAAATCTGCCGAAACGATTCGAAACCTACCGAACCGAAACGAAATCACGACGAAACGAAACGAAACCTGCCGAAACAAAACGAAACAAAGATATCAAAATGTTTGGGTTTTTTTTTCAAATCAAGGTACATATGTGTAACTGCATGTGGACTTTTTTTTTAATCAAATGAAATTTATATATATTATAGTTCAATATGTGTTAATATAAAATTTTAAATTATTGATAAATTATGCTCCCTTCTTAGTCTAATGATGTATTTACATGTTTACCAGCTGCAAATATGCACGAGCGTATATGCAATAATTTCAATATGTGCAGTATTTTCTAATTCTTATATCTTACTCTTATTTTCAGTCCTTAATCTAGATACAATATATCTATCAAAATTGATGTTGTTATATGTAAAGGCTCGTTTATGTACGGGTCGAAATAAAGTCACTGTACTGTTGTATTGCGAATGTCTTAAAACATAGGATAAACCCACGACTTATTTAGTAATCCATTCCGAGGTATCCATGTAACTACAACCGGAATCTTGTGTATCCTTTCTACGTACATACAGTCCTTTTTTATCGAGGTAATTTTCGAAAGAAATTGGTTTGCAAAAAGAGGCTTGAAAACGATTTAACTGACAAGAAAAAAGTCTCTCAAAGCAAACGATGTCAATTTTAAGTAGGTAAATCATTCAGTAAGATATTAATAAAATATGAAATGAGTGTTGGAAACGGGGGGGGGGGGGGCCCCCCCCCCCCCCCCGAAAAAAATTTTCTTTTTTTTTTTTGCAAAGATATATATTATATAGGCATTAACCTTTTTGTTGATTAAATGCCTATGTATGAGCTTGAAGCGAACCCGTGGTGCTTGAACTATATAAATTTCATATGAAGTAAAAATAGACAATATAATCATTCTGAAAGTTTTGTTTCGTTTCGGCAGGTTTCGTTTTGATTTCGTTTCGTTTCGTCTTGATTTCGTTTCGTTTCGGTAGGTTTCGTTTCGTTTCGGTAGATTTCGTTTCGTTTCGGCAGATTTCGTTTCGTTTCAGTTCGTTTCGTTTCGTTTCGTTTCTATTTCGTTTCGCACTTTACAGGTACCCGCATTGATGTAAGTTTTCCTAAATTATTATTGTTGTAAAGGAGCATTGAACACCTATATAAAAAGGTTAACACAATGCTGGAATACTTTATCGGTCAAATCGTTAGAGGATTTACGTACCACAGAAATCTTACATATCCACTTACCAATTCTGTCAATGATGCAAAAACTTGAAAGAAAGATTATCAAAACGAGCGATCGTAAATTTATGGCATATATTTCCGAGAAAATAAATCACCGGCCCATAAAACCTTTACCGGCTCTTTACATTCAATATGCTTCATCGAATATCCATCACAGCAGAAGTGTCTGTGTAGTAAAATCCAATGCTGACAGTATGAAGGATTATTTTGACTTTTGCAAATAAATTTAGATTAAAGATTTTATAAAATAATTTAGATCGAGGGTTTTAGATTAAAAAAATGCTACATCAAAACAACACAATATTAGTTATATAAGGTATTGAGCAAGTCAGAAAAATACAAACAACAACTAAATCATTATGAACATTGTAACTGACCAAAGAAAAGTCTTTTCACAAGGAATGAAACCTGAGAAAAAATGAATGACCTGGCAGCAACCATTTAGAAAATATACCCAAGGTTAAAGTTCTTCAAAAGGTAGTCATTCTTAAACGTCAAGGTCATAAGATTAAAAATTCTGATACCAAAGGAAAACAGTAAATTTTACAAGCCCCAACACAAACCGTTCAATAGTTATAATATAAATGATATTTTTAATTAACACATAATTAAAAATCATAATTTTTTTTAGCATCACCCGTTCAAAAGTGGGTCCAACTTCAAGGTAAGAGTCAAAGTGGCAAGAATGTTGATGCCCAAAGGAAGGTCTTGTCACAAGAAATATGAAAATCCTTGCATCAGCTATTGAAAAGTTATGGGCATGATTAAACTTTTTGCGGACAAAAAGCGAACAGATTAATTGACACAAACAGACAGATAGATGAATGGACAGACCAAAAATACTTAAGTATTTGGCGTAGAATTTCCAACAACTTGGGCACAAACAATAGAAAAAATAGAAAAAAAGGCAGTAAACAAATATTCATTTCCTTAAATGAGAGTTCAATTGTTTAATATAATTTGTATGTTTTGCATCTCGCAATAACCTTGAATATAATATTTTTTCGCTCTTTATCAAAGATGGTGGGTGGTATGTCATATAGTTTTGTCTGACCGTCCGTCTGCGTGTCTATCTGTTATTCTATTTGTATAACTATAAGAGCGCAAAAACTTTGACCTTGCTCATAAATTTGAATGGTTCGTGCTAGGGCTTTCACATTTCACAAGTGCAGTACTGGGGACAAGATTACTCCTTCATTACTATCCTCTCGATCTTGATCTTAAAGTTTTACCTGCGATGGTAAATTAATTACCAAGCGTTAATTTTGTTGGGCCATAATCTTTGGTGCTAGGTTTGTTTTGACTACAGTTGTTTCATGTGACAGGCCTTTCTTTAATAACCAACAATTTTAAAGTTTTGATCTTGACATTAGAGTTTGCCTTCATGTGAAAAACTTAAACATGGCCGTAGGAACCGGGGAGGGGGCGTCCCCCACCAATAATTTTCCCAATATTTAGTATACTATAGAAAACATAGTTCAGTATATACTTGCGCCCCCTCAATAAAAACGTCTGATAGCCTTGCTTTTTGCTTGTCGTGGAATTTTTGGTAGTTTTTAGTGCCCCCATGTGGCTGTGCCCCCCCCCCCCCCAACTGAAATTGCTTCTTACGCGTCTGATTAACCTTGGCCATAACTAAACATAACTAATCATAACTAAATATAAGGAGTATCTCTCGTTTTTAAGGATGGTAAGTCGTTTGTAGCGCATGGTAATCTTTTAAGCCAAATATCAAGTTGTCTAGTTAATGTAATACCTTATACGAGTTCCCCATAAAAACAATACATTCATATCTTTAAGGAATTAACCCATGATCAAAATTAAGGGTTTTGATTTTTCTATGCACAGGAACTTGGGGAAATAATATTTATGAACCAAAACGTCTTAGTACACTGGGAAGAAATCTAGATCTATCATAAACACTATCAAAACTCTAGTTGCATTGCATTCACACTGCACGCATATTCTGCAGCATTACAAGCTTGCCATTGATTAAATAAAGTTCACTGGGTGCGCTAGACGGAAAGTCCGGATGTAGGCTAAGTATTCAGGTGCAGGTTTAAGATTTTTTCTCAATAGATTCCCCTCTTTCCCATCAAAGTTCGTAAAAGAGCATTCAAAATGGTGATACATCTGAAGATTTCTTATCAGTTTTCAATATAATTTACGAGGTCATACACTTCAATGAAGCGATGATGACATCGTTTTGCCATCAAATGCTTATCAGTTATAACACGTGGAATATTTACCGCAATACCCGTATTATGTTTTATGTAACAAATTAAAGTATACGAAACACTGAAACTATAAATCTGTACATGTGATAATTTTACTCACTTCCAATCAATCATATACTGTTGCTTATTATTATTTTCTCCTGGAAATGAAACTGAGAATAATATTCTAATGGCTTGTTTGTTTCTTGTTTTAGGAAAACAATGATTGATCATCTTTCTTCGAGCTACGCAAAGGTATATACATGTCATACCGGAAAATTCTTTATGCAACAGCATACAAACATTTTTCAAATATAGAACCTTTGTCTAGAAAGTGAGTGTGCTTCCAGAGAATTTTATTGAAAAAGGGAGAGAACATACTGAGGTTTACCGGGTTACCATCCGCACAACAGGGATCCCGTGTCAATCCGCATTGTTCTATCTCACGGCAAGATTCAAGATGAAAAACGACGCCTGACGTTGTGAAGATAAGGATGGTGAGGTGCACGCTTGAATAGTAA